CACCTCTTCCCCCAGCTCCCTGCTTCCAGAGGATTATGTAACCAAGTCCAAGCTCACATCACTCACCACACGACAGCCAGTAAGCTGAGAGATAAGATGTTGAGGCGAAGGAAGCAACCCTATTCAGAAAGCCAGAAAACCAAGATGGCGGACCAGCATCATAAAGAACCATCTGAAGTCAGCATGAGCTTTAGGCTCTTTTTTATGTTAACGGGAGGGGGAAGAAGAAGGTGTTGGGATCAAGAGGTGCCCAACGACCGCAGACACCTGGGTGCCGGCGAGAGTCCAAGGAGGTTGTAAAACTTCTTTTTTCTAGGTCAGGTCACAATGTTCCTATAAATCTTTAGCATAACATTGTTATTTGTCTGTATTCTCCCTTATCTCCTTGGGGGTTAGTTTGGGGGAAAGAACTGTTATCATTCTTTTTAAAGTTGAACTGCAAGCTAAACTCCTATAATTATCTGGTCTATGTACAGAACTAAGAGGAAGCTTATAATCTATGGTACCTCTGAGGGGCAGAGGCAAAATGGAGTCAGTTATGCTAAGCCTCCCTCTACTGTTTCAATTTCCCCATTGTCTAAGTTTCATCCCACAGTCTTGTGGGACTGGGGACAATGGGACATCATCTCACCTGCCAAACAGGGTTGACAAGGGGTGACTGTGGAATGAAACCATTTGACCTGGCTAAGGAAATATTTCGAAGTGCCATTTTTAGGAACAATGGTCGTGGGCATTTCCCTTTTGCTTTGATAGTTTTAGTGAGACATGCACAACCTTTGTTTACACAGTACATAAGTTCTACTAGAATGTAAACCACCATGACCAAAAGAAGAACATCAAGGCTGAATTTAAGAATGCCTCCCAAGATTGACGGAATTACCCTAGGAATCCAGGGGAATAGGTCTGTAAAGCAGTCTCTGAAAGTGCCCCAGATTAAGCCTGCTTTGGTGTTCTAAGGTTTGTTAGAGCCAGGTAGCATGTTGTCGAATTTTATCAATACGGGTCTGAAGAGGAGGAATTAAGCTAGTAACAGGTGGCTAGCTTAGGGAGGCCATTTGGTCAGTAGAAAGTATGCTTTCAGGCTTGTGGGTCCTCACGATTGCTTTGCATGTACTGTCTGATGAGAGAATGCATAAGAAAGCAGCATGGGTCCTCTAGGTATGGAGTTAATCGGTCGGGTCCTATGGGTGATTTGAGAAAGCAGCTTCCATACGTCTAATGCATCAGCAGCTACATGATTGAAATTATGTGTACAGGAGCAACTATAGGATCAGAGTGACTGAACTGAACAAGGTTTAAGATGACAAATCTGGCAGTGTGATGGGTTAGTGGAAGAGGCAATAGATTGAGAAATCCTAACTAAAGAGTTGTTTGACAGGGAAACAAAAATCCCTAAAGGACATGCAAGACACACACGGGATACGTTTTCACTTTACTTACCTTTTTTGTGAAAGAGTAGCTTTAGGTCTTTCCGGGGCTCACAAGCCCACTGTTTTCCTGGGTTAGTGGGGTGTCTTCTGGTGGTGCTGCCTTGACCTGAGTATGATGTGCACATGGCTTTACTCCAGCAAGTTGAACTGATGAGTGTGCATTCAGCAGCTCAAATGGCCTTGTCCACTTGGCAGCAAATTGGTGTTCAGGTCCTTGTTATTTCCAGATATTTAGGAGGACCCAATTTCCCAGCTGAAAAGGATATAAGACCACATCTGTGGGACGAGTGGTCCTGCTAGGAGCAGACTCATGAACAGAAGTTAGTATAGTGCCTAGAGTATAGTGCCAAAGCAAGAAGAGATTTGGAAATTGCCAAACCTCTTAAAACATTAGTTAGGTCTCCCACCAGGACAAAAACCTAGAATGAGCTACCAGATAATATTTCAAAGGGGCTCAATCTGAACCTACTTTAGGGAGCCACTCTAATCCACAACAGCAATCAGCAGCATCTTATCCCAAGTCCAGTTAGTTTCTCGATATATTTTGGCAATGCTTCTTTTTAGAGTATGCTTCATCTTTTCAGTTTTTCCTGTGGGTTGTGGTCTCCAAGATGATAATCTAAGCATCACAGATAGTCTTTTTTGAATTAAGATTGGTGGGTATTAACTACAGAATACGTTACCCCTGTATCAATAAGAAAGTCAGTAAGTTTGTTCCCCACTGTCAATTTTACCCAGGGCTCCTGTGGGAATGACAGCAGTTGCCTAAGCAAACATATTCAATGTATGTTCACAGCATACTCGAAAAAGAAGCATTGCCAAAATATATCGAGAAACCAACTGGACTTGGGATGAGATGTTGCTGATTGCTGTTGTGGATTAGAGTGGCTCCCTAAAGTAGTTTCAGATTGAACCCCTTTGAAATATTATCTGGTAGCCCATTCTAGGTTTTTGTCCTGGTGGGAGACCTAACTAATGTTTTAAGAGGTTTGGCAATTACCAAATCTCTTTTTGCTTTGGCACTATACTCTAGGCACTATACTACATATATGTTTACAGGAGAAGCTTTGAGTATTTATGAGGGTGGTCCTGACACATGTGCATTGAACATACATGTTACATATGACCCGTGTTTACCTTGGGGTGAAAACTTAACATTTACATGTACTACAGTCAGGCCCTGTGCATCAAAAGGTCTTTTCAGAACACAAAGGTATGTAAATGCATAATCTCTATAACCAGCCAAAACCAGTTGATGGTCAGAAGTATTATTGTCAGGAGAAAATTAGTGAAATCAGTCTTTTGTCCAATCAAAGCTATATTTACGGCTGGTGGAACTGAGATTCAGTTAGTCAGCATCTATGAACTGGATGAGCTGCAATTGTTTTAATATTGCTTATCTTAAAGCCTGAGCTTTTTAACTGCTAGAGAAAAAGAGAAACCTCGGGTCATTGAGAATATAGCTTATTCTCTAAGTGTAGGGATGCATGACTTAACTCTTGCCTGGCATGGCCTTAGGTCTCGTTTATCATTTGATATTTTATGGCCACAAAATTGCAGTTATGTCAGTCTTAGGACCTGTATTTTAACATTAATGTTGATCAGTTATTGTATCTAAACCACAAAAGGGAGGGGGTATAATGAGGTGGGTCTGACTTCCCATTACATTATGCTTAGAACACTAAGTTTTTAGGGGTTTTCTGGGGTCCCCTTGGCCAAGATGGTGGGAAGGGGGAACCTAAGATTTTATTTTTAGTTGACATTCTTTCATTTGGCCAAGATATACCAAAGGCAGCCTAAGTGACCAAACTTTTATCTTGTTCCCTCTTGCTGCCGGGGGTGTTGCGGCTACTTGCCCCAGGTTCATCGTCTCCCTCAGTAGGATCCCTGCGGTTAAGGAGCTCAAAGCCAAAAGACTTACAGTCAATTACATGTTTTAGGCCAGATGGGAATGGAGGTGGGCAAGTGTTCATTAACCCTTAAAACCTTTTAAGTAACATAAGAGCCAAAACCAAAAAGCAAAGTTACAAAGCTGACCTTTTTATAAGTTCTATGAGTCGAGCCATCAGCTGTTTAGGCATCTGTGTACCTATATTTTGAGGATCTGAACTAATTTTACTTCTTAAAACTGGCCCTTGCAATCTCATGTGCCCACCTCTTCATGATAGTCCCTGGGCCTAGCAGGATTGAATAGCTTTTTAAACTCTGAAGTTCACAGGTAGAAAGAGAAAGGTAAACCCAATTTCTATAAGCTATAAATAGCTCAAAAAGAAAAAGGGCTTTGTTGACTCTGGAAAACAAAGCATAAAGAATTAGCAACATTTCAAACTTAATTTCGGATTAGATTTTGAGGACATTTGTCAAAGATGTTAGAGCCTCAAAACATTTGATCAAAACAGAACCACAGGTCTTTGGAAAATAACATTCATTTAACAAAAGTGATAATCGAAAGACTTTAAAAGCAATACAGAAAGTTACATGAATATAAAGCCTTAACCTTTCGAAAGCTCAGTTTTCCTAAGTAATCAAAAACCTGATGAAGATAACATAAGAATTAGAAACTATCTTAAGAAGATGTACAGTATTTCCTTTTTTTTTCTTTGAGACAGGGTATCACTCTGTCATCCAGACTGAAGTGCAGTGGTGCAGTCATGGCTCACTGCAGCCTTGAACACTGGGCTCAAGTGATCCTCCCACCTTAGCCTCTCTGGTAGCTAAGACTACAGGCATGCACCACCACACTCAGCTAATTTATAATTATTTTTCAGAGATGGGGGTCTCGCTATGTTGCCCAGCCTTGTCTCAAACGAGCTTCAAGTGAGCCTCCTACCTCATCCCCTCAAAGCCCTGGGGTTACAGGCATGAGCCACTGTTGCCCAGCCTAAAATATTTCTTGGGCCAGCTACCAAAAAGGCAAAGAAAAATTTTCTGTTGTGTGATTGCTTCTCCCTGTGGGAAGGCCATTTAAATAACCTGTAAATCAAACCTGATGAAAACAATGCTTGAATTAAACCAGACACAGGAAGGCTGTTCAAGACTATAAGCAGCTCAGCCCAAGCTTGTAGCACTTGCCACACAACAACCAACGAGTCTAGAGACAAGGTGTGTGGCAAAGAAAGCCACCTTATCCAGAGAGCCAGAAAACCGAGGAGATGGCAGACTAGCATCATAAAGGACCGTCTGAAGTCAGCATAAACTTTAGGCTCTTTTGTTTCTTTTTTTGAGACGGAGTTTCGCTCTTGTTGCCCAGGCTGGAGTGCAATGGCACAATCTTGGCTCACCGAAATCTCTGCCTCCTGGGTTCAAACGATTCTCTTGCCTCAGCCTCCTGAGTAGCTGAGATTACAGGCACTTGCCACCATGCCTAGCTAACTTTTGTATTTCAGTAGAGATGGAGTTTCACCATGTTGATCAGGTTGGCCTTGACCTCCTGACCTCAGGTGATCCAACCACCTCAGCTCCCAAAGTGCTGGCACAGGCATGAACCGTGGCACCCGGCCCCTCTACTCTTACAATGAAACCTGCTGTTGCTTCTCCCACCAAGAAACCATTCAGATAGATTCATCCGTGTTCTAGATGGAAAAACTGGGCTGTAGCCTGGGAGAAGCCAGACAGGGACAAAGCCAAAGTTAATACAGAGGATGGAGCTTCTAGGGTATAGGGGATGGGTCTGGGCTAGGGAGCTGGGAACCTAGGTTCTATGCTTGTCCCAGTTTTGATGTTGGCCCTGACAGTGCTGTTTCTCATCAAGCTCTGCCAGCTTAAGGGGTCACAGGGCCATGCCAGATAGAGGGCTGCCAGCGTCACTGGGCACAAGACTGCTTCCCACAGCTCTCCTTCCTCCAGCCCCTCTGCTCCACATTCTGGAAACCTGGGTACCCTTCACCCACCTAGCTCTGTCCCACAGTGAGATTTATTGCTGGCTGCCCTGCCATCTGCCCCGGGGTAATAAATCAGGATAGAGCAGAATTGCAATCACCCCATGCATGGTGTGTATAAAAGGAGAAGGGCTAAGGGAAACACAGAACCTCCGCGGATCTTAGAGAAAGCCCCAGACTGAGGGAAGCATGGACGCATGGAGAGGAATGCCTCGCTGGGGACTGCTGCTGCTGCTCTGGGGCTCCTGCACCTTCGGTCTCCCGACAGAAACCACCACCTTTAAACGGTAATTGGTAACACAATCAGAGAAGGGGTGGGAGGGGTGCAGGGCTCCCACCTTCCCAACACCCTGGCTTTTCCGTATGTGGTGTCATTCACTCCTTATAATCAGCTGGATAGGGAGGCATGGACCTGTTCAGAGAGGTAAAGAGACTTGCCCAATAAATAAGTGGCACTATTAGTCAGGTCTAGAAGCTGTGTCTTTTGCTTCCTGCCCAGAGCACCATGCTAAGACCTGTAAAGAACTCAGAAATGATTAGGACATGCCCCTTGCTCTTGAGGAGCTCACAGCCTGACTACTAAGGACTATTAAGAAGGGCATAGGTGGCCGGGCATGGTGGTTTGTGTCTGTAATCCCAGCACTTTGGGAGGCCGAGGCAGGAGTATCACTTGAGGTCAGGAGTTCAAGAACAGCCTGATCAACATGAGGAAACCCCCTCTCTACTGAAAATACGAAAGTTAGCCAGGCATGGTGGCATGTGCCTGTAATCCCAGCTACTCGAGAGGCTGAGGCAGGAGGATTGATTGAGCCCTGGAGGTGGAGGTTGCAGTGAGCCAAGATTACACCACTGCACTCCAGCCTGGGCAACAGAGTGAGACTCCATCTCAAAAAAAAAAAGGTGGGGGCGTGAGTACAGTTAAGTCTACCAGGGAAGCAGCCGTATCGTGGCTAATTGCAAAGCTTATAGAGTTGAATTGCCTTCATTTAAATTTTGCTTCACTAGTAGAACACATTAGGTCTGGAACCATGGGCAGGTTATTTAACCTCTCCAAGTCTCAGTTTACCATTTGAAACAGGGATGATAATAACAGTGCCTGCTTTGAGGATTTAATGAGATCAGGCATAGAAAGCCAGGCACGTTTCAAGAGCCCAGCTACTATTAGTACTACAGGATGGATTCTTACAAATATGAAAAGCAAGGCTGCAGCAGCCCACAGCTAGGAGAAAACCCTAGCCTCCACTAGGAGCCAGGCCCTGTGGGAACAAGTGATTCGTTAAGACCGAAGAAGAAAGCTGGGCACGGAGGCTCATGCCTATACTTTCAGCACTTGAGAGGCTGAGATGGGTGGCTCGCTTGAGCTCATGAGTTCAAGACCAGCCTGGGCAACATGGTGAAACCTTGTTGCTATAAAAAATACTAAAATTTTTTAGTGCTAGGTGTGGTGGTGCACACCTGTAGTCCCAGCTACTTGGGAGGCTGAAGTGAAAGGATTGGCTCAGCCTGGGAGGTGGAGGCTGCAGTGGGCAGAGACTGAGCCACTGCACTCCAGCCTGGATCATAGAGCCAGCCCTTATCTAAAAAACAAAAACAAACAAACAAACAAAAAGACTGAAGAAGGGGAAGAGGCAGTGTTTGAGAGACGGCCTCACAGAGAAAGGCGTTTTCAATTTGGGGACGGCAGATGTGACCAGTAATACAGAAAGTAGGAAGGCACATTTTAATCATGGTAATATTTGCTAAGCCTACAAAATACTTAGGGTTTCACAGGATCTTCTTACATGTCTCATCTCAAGTCATGTTCCCAACAGTTCAGCATTCCGCTTTGCAAATGAGGACACAGAGGCTCAAGGAGGTGATATGTAAGAGGCTGAGCCTCAACACACCCTGGGCCTTTTGCTTCCAAAGCTGCTTTCTCTTGCTCTGCGGCTCTCAGGGAATAATTGCTGAGTTGTGAGCATGGGGTAAGAGGATGGGTGCTTCAGAGCAGCACCACCCCCAGGATAAGGTAGAGGAAAGTAAAAACATCTTCCCCTGTTGTTATCCAAAAGAGAAACAGAATGGAATTGGGCAAGGGGTGGAGAAGGAATCCAGCTTTTGAAACAGAACTATAGCAATTCTGCTACCTGCTGTGGGCAGAACATCATGCGAGGTACTTGGGGCAGATGAATGAATAAGCTCCATTCTCAAGGTGGACGTGTGCATGTACACACTCACAATTTACATTTATTGAGCAGTGGGCACATGGTTTCATCTGCACAGGGACTCTGAGGTAGGGGCTACCATTAGGCCCATTTTTAGAAACGAGTTAATGGAGGCTTAGAGACCCAGAGAGGTTAGGTAGCTTTCTCAGAATCACACAGGTGGGAAGGGGATTCATGCATGCCCCCCTGCAACCACTGTCTTCACCACCATATGGTGCCAGTTCCACAAGCTGTAGAGTGCAGGCTGTGAGGCCCAAGGAAAAACAGAGCAGAAGCCCAAGGAAAGGTGAGGCCAATATGGGCTGGAGGCCTTGGGGCAAGCTTCCTGGAGGTGGGGGTACATGTTGGGCCTTGAAGAATTAAAGAACTGGGGGGAAAACGAAGGGGAGAAGGAAAGAATTTTCTGAAAAGGAATGGCAAAAAGAAGTCCAAAGCATAGGCTGTTTGTTTGGAGTAAATAGCAGGAAATGCAACCTCTTTAGGGTCAGATCTCTGACCCTCCATTTTCCCATCTGTAAAGAGGGAGTAATAAAATCAACCACCTCATGAGATCAAATAAAATGATGATGTGAAAATATGTTGGTAACAGTAACTGTGATAGGAAGATGAAAATCATTTCTGTTACAATACCATGCCGCTAGGCATAAAAGTTGCATTCATGTTCATGGGCAAAATGGGGGTAAGTAGAATGCACGGGATACAGGAAGGATGTCAGAAGGAAAGGCAGCGTACGTATAGGAGGACCAGCCACTGAGAAGAAAGGGGGAATCTCCGTGTGTATGGGAAAGTCTATTGCAGAGCTAACTGGGACCTTCTGGCTTCTGTCCTGGGAACTTCTGGCAAACAGCTAGATACATCTTCCTCTGGGTTTTGGCAAACAGCCTTTATGTCAGGATTCAGGGGACCCTATATGGGAAATAGGGCGAGACATGCTCTGAATCCCTGCTCCAGCATTTCTGAGTCACCTTCATCCCTGTGAGCCTTCATTTTCTCACCTATAAAACGGATGACAGCTGGTGTGCAGAGTTGCTATGCGGTCTGCATGGGTGTGTGTACTACGTTGGTGTGCATTCCTTCAGTAGTAGCTCAGTGTAGTCAGTTTCCCAGGTCTCTTTAATTCTGCCTCTCAAAGATGATGGGAAAACATCTGGACAAGAAGCCAAGAGACTGGGACATAACTTTCCAAGGACGAGGTGCATGGTGCTCTGCATCTCTCTAGACCCAACGCAGCTCAGGGGTTCCTCTCCACCACAGCCCTGGCCGGATGCCTGTCCCCAGATGTCCTGGAAACCTCTCAGCCGCTGTGGGCATCTGCTGTCACCTAGCGGCCGCCCATGGCACTGTCTCCCCGCCAGCCCCCAGTTTTGACAGGGGCACTCCCTGGCCTTCATCTCCTTAGAGGGAATGTCTGTGCCTGTTTCCTGTCTGTCCTCCCTCCAGCTCGAGTTTCTTAAAAGCAGCCAGATTGTTATCGTTCTAGCTCCAGTTTCCAGCACAGTGAGGCACAAAGTAGTTGTTCAGCAGGTGATTATGGAATGAATGAATGAATGAATGAATGAATGAACAGGCCATAACAAATGGCCTTGTCTAATCAAAATTAGACAACAGAAGGAAGTCACTTCAGGGTTATTTAATCCCAGGGCAGACGACTCTTCTAAATTGACTCTTGACAAGCGGTAACTCTTATAAATGCTCCAGAGGCCCTCAGGGACAGAAGTGATTTCCAGGTGGCTGTATTAGAGCCGTTAGAGGCGTTTGTACTAAAGCAGGGGTTTGGCCTGGAGGACCCTATCATTATGGGTACACACTTTTTTATATGTGCTTCCTCCACCCTGGGCCAGGATCTCCCTCAAGAGAATGCCCTCAATCCGAGAAAGCCTGAAGGAACGAGGTGTGGACATGGCCAGGCTTGGACCTGAGAGGATGGCCCTTGTCAACATCACCTCCTCTGTGATCCTCACCAACTACATGGACGTGAGTGCCTGGCTCAGCCCTTCGCTCCCTCTCTCCCTCCTTTCCATAGCCTAGGGCTTTCTTTGCCACAGGACCCACCCTCTCCAGGCTGTGTTTGACTAAGGTGCTGGGGAACGGAACACGTGAACACGCTAGAGAATTCCCACTTTCAGCCGGGTGCAGTGGCTCGCACCTGTAATCCCAGCCCTTTGGGAGGCGGAGGCAGGAGGAGGCAGGAGGATCACCTGAGGTCGGGAGTTTGAGACCAGCCTGACCAACATGGAGCAATCCTGTCTCTACTAAAAACACAAAATTAGCCGGGCGTGGAGGTGCATGCCTGCAATCCCAGCTATTCAGGAGGCTGAAGCAGGAGAACCGCCTGAACCCAGGAGGCAGAGGTTGCAGTGAGCCAAGATTACACCACTGCACTCCAGCCTGGGCAACAAGAGCAAAACTCCATCTCAAAAAAAAAAAAAAAATCCCATTTTCCAGCTGGAAGTCCTGAGCACAGAAGACAGGAGGGCACTCAGGAGCCAGTCAGGGGCAGGGTTAGGTTTGGAACTCAGCCCAGGCCTCAGCCCAGGTGTTACAGGTGGGTGGGAAGGGGTGTGTGACTCAGGTGGGGTTTCTGTGACCTGGCCCAGCACAGCGGGCTTCCTGCCCTAGCAGATCCTCAAGGGTCAAGGTCGCTTCCTGCTTCATTCTCAATGTTTTTATTTCACCCTCTTGTCTTACTGAGACTCACTTTCTGGAATGCCAAGGGATGATGCTAAGCCTCCTAACAGTTCCTGCAGGAAAATGGAAACCCAAAGAGGCTATAGGACCTCACCTGGGCCAAATCTCCTCCCAAGAGCCAAGAGTGGGGCCAGGCAAGACCCCAAGACCCAAGCTCCCCTGAGCCCCTCCAGCCCTCTCTTTCTTTTTACCCCCGCAGACCCAGTACTATGGTGAGATTGGCATCGGCACCCCACCCCAGACCTTCAAAGTTGTCTTTGACACTGGTTCGTCCAACGTTTGGGTGCCCTCCTCCAAGTGCAGCCGTCTCTACACTGCCTGTGGTGAGACCTAAGACCCACGATGCCTCTCCCCAAGTCCCCCTGCCCTGCTGTGCATGAGCAATCCTGCCTCTCACCCAGCTCCATCCCCGTTACCGCCAAGGGAGTGGCTTCCTCTCTGCCTCTGTTCCCACTGACACTTAGGGTAGAGAGGCAGATGTTTCCCATTTTTCTGATATAGCCACTAAGGTAAAAGAAAAAAAAAAAAATGCAAGCTCCAAGAACCCCTGGCCACCCAGAAGGCCACTCTCCAGTCTTCCTGAAATTGAGACAAGACTGAATTCTCAAACCCATCCCAGGAACTCAGAACTCTTCCACCCCTAGTCTTTTTTTTTTTTTTTTTGAGATGGAGTTTCGCTTTTGTTGCCCAGGCTGGAGTGCAATGGTGTGATCTCGGCTCACTGCAACCTCCATCTCCTGGGTTCAAATGATTCTCCTGCCTCAACCTCCTGAGTAGTTGGGATTACAGGCTCTTGCCACTACACCCAGCTAATTTTCTGGTATTTTTGGTAAAGACAGGATTTCACAACGTTAGCCAGGCTGGTCTCGAACTCCTGGCCTCAGGTGACCTGCCCACCTCAGCCTCCCAAAGTGCTGGGATTACAGGCCTGAGCCACCACGCCCAGATTCCATCCCCAGTCTTAATCAACAGCCTCTTATTGTGCACTTACTCTGTGCGCAGCATCTTCTTTGGTGCCATCGGTGTAGTGATTACTTTAAATTCCTTCATTTAGGACAAAATTCTCCAGGTACGGGCGCATGAGGGGTGGCCCAAGAAAGCCAGTCCTTGATTGATGAAGCACATAGTCCAAGCCCCCTGACCTAGGGCCACTCATCCCTTCATCTAAGCTAAGTCCTAAGCCACACCAGCCATACCCACAATGCACCCTGCCTCTGAGTCCCCCTGTCTGGGCCACTCTTGGACAAACCCGAGCCTGCGTTCCCCTGCCAGTGTATCACAAGCTCTTCGATGCTTCGGATTCCTCCAGCTATAAGCACAATGGGACGGAACTTACCCTCCGCTATTCAACAGGAACAGTCAGTGGCTTTCTGAGCCAGGACGTCATCACTGTAAGTGGGGCCGCCATAGGTCATCTGCCCCCTACCCCTTCTGTTCCCAGGCCTCTCCTGACCCTCCAGGGCCCACACCTGGGGGAAGGTGCACTGCAGCCCACTTGAAGCCTGGGGAGCTAAGGAACACCGTGCTCTGCCGCATCTGACTGGAGCTGCAAAATAGCAGTACCTATGGGGGAGCAAGCCTGGGCTGCGGGCTCACCGTTGGGTGACTTATGGAGGCTTTTGCATCTAACTTAACTTTAATCTAACGCAGGGCTTGTCCTGAGCCCCACGGCTGCAGTCAAGTCACTTGTCCAAGTTCACCAGCTCTGACTGGGCTCTTAGCTACACCTTAGACTGAAATCCAGGGGCAGAGGCAGGGGCAGGGTGAGTTTTAGGGTCTGGCATAGGTTTTAAGGTTGCACTTGAGGTTGACCTTGGGAATTAGGTCAAGACCTGCTTTTCTTTTTCATTTGGCCCATGTCTGACCCTTTCCTCATGCTGGAGTTTCTCAGCCCCTGCTCTGTCACTTAGGGGAGGGGTACACATGGGACCTGAGAGGAAATCCGGGTGATTCCTGCCTCCTTCCCTTTTTCTGTGAACTCAGGTATAAAGGAGGAAGAAGGGCAAGCTTGGTTGTGCTGGAGAAAGTCTTCGCCCATGATAAGGGAGAATGCCAAGACCCAGTACGGCCGGGCATGAAAGCTAGACCACTGGGGAAGGGGAGGGGAGATTTGGCAGCTTTACCACCCTCTCAACCTTTGCTGTCCAGTCCCTGGTCAACTCCAGCTCTCTCTGGGTTCCGCAGCAGAGATGTGTATTGGCACAGAGTGTGTGCGTGCAGAGTCTAGGAAATACTCTTATCCTGATTTCTGTACCCTGGAGCATGTGTGCCCCTGGGATCCCTAGTGTAGAAGCCCAGACCAGACTCTGGCCAAGGAGTGGGCAGTGGGCTTGGTCTCCTCTGGTCCTTCCTCCCACAGGTGGGTGGAATCACGGTGACGCAGACGTTTGGAGAGGTCACGGAGATGCCCGCCTTACCCTTCATGCTGGCCGAGTTCGATGGGGTTGTGGGCATGGGCTTCAGTGAACAGGCCATTGGCAAGGTTACTCCTCTCTTCGACAACATCATCTCCCAAGGGCTGCTAAAAGAGGACGTCTTCTCTTTCTACTACAACAGGTGGGGACCAGGACCCCAGGGACTCCAGGGACACCAGGGGCTGAGGTGGGGGAGGAGAGGGAAGAAGAGCTGGGGAGTGAAAAGAGAGCCTGGGCCAGAATTGTTTGTGAGTAGGTGACAGCCAGTCAGTATCTAGAGCTGCATTAGCAAATATGGAAGCCACGACTGAAACGTGAATTTATTAGGTACAGTTAAGCATCAATTAAGCATTCAACAGGTGCCTCTTAGTTGCACTAGCCACATGTCAAATGCTTGGCAGCCATGGTGGCTGGTAACTATGGTCTTGGACGATGCAGATAGAGAACATTCCCAGCATGGCAGGACATTCTATTTATTTATTTATTTTTTGAGATGGATTTTCGCTCTTGTTACCCAGGCTGGAGTGCAATGGTGCGATCTCGGCTCACCGCAACCTCCGCCTCCTGGGTTGAGGCAATTCTCCTGCCTCAGCCTCCTGAGTAGCTGGGATTACAGGCACACACCACCATGCCAGCTAATGTTTTGTATCTTTAGTAGAGACGGGGTTTCACCATGTTGACCAGGATGGTCTCGATCTCTTGACCTCGTGATCCACCTGCCTCTGCCTCCCAAAGTGCTGGGATTACAGGCTTGAACCGGGCCGGCAGGACATTCTAATAGACGGTACCACTCTGGAGGAAGAGGAGATGCCAGGTGGGGGTGATGGAAAATAAGGTGTTTCTGTGACCTGGAACCCTGCCTGTGAGGGCCATGGCTCCTCCCACACAGAGACAGCCCACTTCAGTCATCCATTAGATCCCTCATTTGCTTGTTTGCTCACTCACCAGTTCAGTAAATGCTGTGTGCCAAGCCCTGTGGTAGGCTCTGGGGGTACAGCAGTGAACATAGTGATCAAGGCAGAATCCGTACTCCTCTACCCACATAGCGCTTACAGGCTAATGAGGAAGACAAGACATATTCCAACGTAATGAGTGTCACAGGCAGGCAGCGAGTGTGCTGCTGAAAACCATGGATGCTTTTCAGTTCTAGGCTGAGCTTATATGCAGCTCAGCCAGCCTTGGGGAAGCTGTTGTCAGCTCTTGCACAGGGTTGGGTTTTACTCCAAACTGCTGGGTTTAGGCAGATGGCATGAGTTGGAGATCAGAGGGGCTGGGAGCAGTGGCTCACGATTGAATCCCAGCACTTTGGGGAGGCCAAGGTGAGAGGATCACTTGACCCCAGGAGTTAAGGCTGCAGTGAGCAGTGATTGTGCCACTGCACTCCAGCTAAGGCAACAGAGTGAGCTCCAATCTCAAAAAAAAAAAAAATCACAAGGGTGAGAACACAAGGCCAGTGGCAAAAAGAATAGAGGAGAGGAGGTCAGGCTCAGTGGCTCATTCCTGTAATCCCAGCACTTTGGGAGGCTGAGGTGGGTGGATCACAAGTTCGGGAGTTTGAGAGCAGCCTGGCCAATATGGTGAAGCCCCATCTCTACTGAAAATACAAAAATTAGCCAAGTGTGGTCGCACACATCTGTAGTCCCAGCTACTCAGGAGGCTGAGGCAGAAGAATCGCTTGAGGTGAGGCAGAGGTTGCAGTGAGCTGAGATCACACCACGGTGCTCCAGCCTGGGCAACAGAGTGAGGCTCCATCTCAAAAAAAAAAAAAAAAAAGAATAGCAGAGAGGACTGGAGTCCAGAGACATCTCAGAGTGAATGGAGAGGAGTCTCTGGTTTAGTGATGGAAAGGGAGGCCTTGAGAAAAAGCCAATTGGTGGCTCTGCAGTTGGGGTGGTCTTCAGAAGAGCGTTTTAGAGGAGGTGGGGACACGGCCAGATGGCAAGCAGTTAAGAGGCAGATGTGGGTGTCAGGAAGTGGAGGTCATGAGATGTAGGCTGCCCTGGGAAATTCAACAGTGAAGGGAATGGGGGTGGTGTGTGGGGTGAGATCCAGAGCAGGAGAGGAAGGGTGGGTGTTTGAAAATGCTAGAGGACGCTCGAGTGATGCCCGTAGGTGGAGGAAGAAGCCAATGGAAAGAAAGAGATAAAAAATGTAGAAAGAGGAGGAGCTAAGTGGGGGCACCAGAATTGGAGGTCATGGAAGAGAGGAGGATCCAGCAGACAGGAAGAAGCCAGGCTTTCAGAGGAGAGGGCCGGCCTCTTCCTTCATCTTGGGATGGGAAGGAGGGAACACCTGGAGAGATCCTAAAGTGTTGGGAGAGGAGCAGGAGGGAAGTTGTGCTGGCACATATGCATCGTTCCGAATTTGTAGAAACACAAGCAGTCTGCAGTTGCACAAAATAACATATGGACACCTACGCACCCATGCACACATTGTGCATGTGTGAATTCTAGTATGAATTCTGGAAAAACACATCACACACACATGCATGCCCTGGAGAACAGGCCTCTAGTAGTCCCTGAGCCAAGTGCAACGTGGAGGAAAGGAAGGCGAGGGGAATCAGCTCCAGACTGGCACCAGGGGTCTGGCTCCAGCGCCACACTTGTTCACTCATGGCCTTGGTAACTTCAGGCAGGAGACTTCACCTCTTGGTGACTCCATTGCCTGGAGAGCAAAGAGAGTACATGACACCCACCCTGCCAAACAGCAGGGCTGATGAGGCTTGCATAAAATGAAGCGTCCTTTCCGCTGTCTCTTTCTCTGCAGAGATTCCGAGTAAGGAGAAAGAATCCCCACATGGCTGTGACCTTCCAGTATTCCCTGAGAACCTGACCTAGAATCGCACACACCACTGGCCCACAGCTCGAATCAGCAAGCCCAGCCTCCACTAGATCCTGAAGTTCTCTGTCCCTCCTTCCAGCTCTCTCCATACCCCCCACCCATCCCACACCCAACATCCTCCCCAGGGTCCCCTCCCATGCACTGCTCAATCAGCAGCAACCCAACCCCCGAGCGAGGGGCGTCCATTTGTGTCTTGTTCAATCTGCTCGCTCTCCTTGGACCTGCACCTTTTCTGTGACCTCTTTGGGGATGCTTTTTGGGGCACAGCTGGACTACCCTGGAACACCCTCTGGTTGGGCTTGGGGAGGGGCAAGATAGGCAGAGAAGCAGTAGGGCCTGCGTGCTCCCCAGCAGCAGTCCGCGCTGGCTGGCTGTCACATATGCCTCTGCCCTAGAGCCCTCTGTCCTGCCCTGCACCCTTGCCCAACTCTCCCCGATTGCCTGAGTCCCTGGGTCCTGGAAGTTATGGGTTTCCAAGAGTTTCTGATCTTTCTTTTAGGAATTCCCAGTCGCTGGGAGGACAGATTGTGCTGGGAGGCAGTGACCCACAGCATTATGAAGGGAATTTCCACTATATCAACCTCATCAGGACTGGCCTCTGGCAGATTCCAATGAAGGGGTTAGAAATCCTCAACACTCCCCAGGCTCCAAAAATTGCTGTTATCACTGGGGTTGGGGTGGGTGGGGAAGGGGGATCCTGCCCTCTTTCCGATGCAGCCACTTCTTAAGCACAGCCACCATTTACTCTCTGCCTGCTCTGTCCAGCCTGGGGAACAGAGAAGGGAGGGGGACCTGGGGAGAAGCAGTGGAGGGCGACAGTACCTTCCTTCCTCCACTCACGGCCTCAGTGGGCCACCAGTGTGGTCTCCACCCATCCACCCACACTCAGGAAGGACACGCAGCCTGGAGGTGCCCCATTGGCCTTCTGTCTGTCTGACCGACTGTGTCCTCCCCCAGGGTGTCTGTGGGGTCATCCACCTTGCTCTGTGAAGACGGCTGCCTGGCATTGGTGGACACCGGTGCATCCTACATCTCAGGTTCTACCAGCTCCATAGAGAAGCTCATGGAGGCCTTGGGGGCCAAGAAGAGGCTGTTTGATGTAAGAAGCCAAAGAGGGAAGGTGCTGCGGGTGGAGGGAGCACCACCTGGTCTTCGCTCACAAATCCCCCAGGCAGCATGAGGTCCCATCTCAGGCCTTTGCTTGTGTGCCTCACTCACACTCTCCACACCTGTGGCTGGTCACCCACGGGGAGGGGCACTGTGCTCAGCCCCCTCCAGCACAGAGTCCAGGCAGCCAGTGCAGGACCCCTTGTCTTCTGAGATACCTTCCACTCTCAAGAAGGCTCCCTTTGCCCCCACCACAGTATGTCGTGAAGTGTAACGAGGGCCCTACGCTCCCCGACATCTCTTTCCACCTGGGAGGCAAAGAATACACGCTCACCAGCGCGGACTATGTATTTCAGGTGAGGTTCGAGTAGGCCCCCTTGGTGGCAGGGAGGAAGGCTGGACAAAGACCCCCAAAAGGGGAAAGATTACAATGCTCGGATCATGTTAGAACCGTAGTTCTCAAACTCGGCTGTGCATGTCACCTGGAGAGCTCTGAAAAATCCTGGTACTGGGGCCCCATCCCATACCTATTAAATCAGAACCTCTAGGAGTGGTACCCAGGGCTTGGTCTCCCCAGGTGATTCCAATGTGTGGCCATGTTTGGGAATCACTGTGCCTGTTCCCTCATCTCCATTTTCTCATCAAATGCTCCCAGTCATCTTAGGCTCCTATATTCTGATCCTCTTTTCATCATCAATAGGCTTAGAGAAGGTGAAGAGCTTGTCTAGGTTCAGAAGATAAGGCGAACTGTGGGCTCCTATAGGAAGTATGGTGCCTGATGCATTATTTGCCTGGCATCTAGCATGGGACCTAAATGCAGGAGTGGTGCAGTCCATGACGGAGCAAAATGGCCAAGAAGTGAGGGAGGCTCCATGTGGCTAGGGGAGAGGGGGCGAAGGGGGAATGTGACTGAAGACAGCTGCTGGGGTCAGGCAAGGTGACAGGAGAATGCTGAGGTGCTGGGTAATGAGAAACTCTCCCCCTTCCTGCAGGAATCCTACAGTAGTAAAAAGCTGTGCACACTGGCCATCCATGCCATGGATATCCCACCACCCACTGGACCCACCTGGGCCCTGGGCGCCACCTTTATCCGAAAGTTCTACACAGAGTTTGATCGTGGTAACAACCGCATTGGCTTCGCCTTGGCCCGCTGAGGCCCTCTGTTGCCCAGGCGGCCCTACCTTCAGCCCTGGCCCAGAGCTGGAACACTCTCTGGGATGCCCCTCTGCCTGGGCTTATGCCGTCACATGGAAGCACCGGGTATGGAGCTCCTGCTGGAGGCGTGCCCTGACCCCTGCACCAGCCCTTCCCTGCTTTGAAGACAAATAGAATAAAGACTTCATGTTCACAGCCTGTTGCATCCAGGTTCACTAGGGTTTAGGATGGAGGGAGGGGCTGCGTGATCACGTATGGATAGGAAGTGACACAGACAAGCTACACATTCACGCTGTCCACAGATTCCTGTGTGCAGGGATGATGCTATCCATTGGCCATCAGCAGGACTCAGGTGGAGCTGTTTTACACAACCTCAGGTGGGAAGCCTGAAGAGAGCCGGCACCAAGCCCCCTCTACTCTCTCAGGGACCAAGGCTACTGCTGTGGCAGTAGACCGTGGCTCAGAAAGTTCTCTCAGCTCACAGAAGCCAGCTCTGAGTTCAGACTCTGCTCTGCTGAGCTAGTCAGCCCTGTCTCTCGTCCCTGCAAAACTCCCCTCTACTCTCCTTACTGCCCCTGCCCATGCCCCATGTAGCCATTTACACAGGCAGTCTAAGGCACTACCACCTAAAACCATAGAACACCAGAGATTCAGTCAATACTTCCACTTTATAGGTGGGGAAACTGAGGCCCAGAGAATGGAAGGCCTTGCCCAAGATTACTCAGTCAAGAATCAAATAGTGGCCGGGTGCGGTGGCTCACGCCTGTAATCCCAACACTTTGGGGGGCTGAGGCAGGTGGATCACGAGGTCAAGAGATGGAGACCATCCTGGCCAACATGGTGAAACCCCGTCGCTATAAATACTAAAAATACAAAAATTAGCTGGGCATGGTGGAGTGTGCCTGTAGTCCCAGCTACTTTGGAGGCAGAGGCAGGGGAATTGCTTGAACCTGGGAGGCAAAGGTTGCAGTGAACCAAGATCGCGCCACTGCACTCCAGCCTGGTGCCTGGTGACAGAGCAAGACTCCACCTCAAAAAAAAAAAAAAAAGAATCAAGTCGTGAAGAATACTGAAAGATAGTGAAGAATCAAGACTGGAACCCAGTCCGTCTAAAGCAGGTCCTGGGGGCTTTCCACTTTATCACAAGCAGTGGGTACTGTCACAAGTACAGTGCTTCACACACCCTGGTTCAGGGCCACGTGCACAAGCACACAGGTGCACACATGCACTGCTATCCTCCATCCCATCCACCGGGACTCCTCAGGCTGAAGTCTTTTCTCTCACTTTTATTATTAGGCTGTCTGGGGGCATGTGTAACTCAGGGAATGAGAAATCAACATCCACCTGGAGCCACGGAAGGTGTCTTTCTTCACCACAGTTGCTCACCTGTCTTTTGACAGAAAATCACGAGGCACTGAACAGCCTAACCAGGCCCTCAGTACCTCTAGAGTCCCTGCAAGAGTCCCTGTGCAGAGCCAAGAACCCAAGCCTGGGTTTCAGGACCCTGGACTCCCACTGATTCTCCATGTTCTCTTGTCCTGCATAGCTGTACTTTCTCACTGCCAAGGAAGTGTTGGAGGCCAGGGTCTTTTCCAGCTCCATCTCGGGGCTCCATGACCTTCAGAAGGCAGGCACCACCCCACATCTCCTTCACTGTCCAATATGGCAGCCACATGTGACTATTTACACTAAGATTAAAATTAATTAAAATCGAATAAAATCAACGTTTCTAGTGGTCACTACGCTGGACAGCACAGATATAGAACATTTCTATCACTGCAGAAGTCATGCTAGGCAGAGCTGGATTCTGGACAGCAGTAAGCATAGGAGCCTTGTGGCTGAGAGGTTCCAGGATAGACCAGAGGTAACTGGGGAAAAAGGAAAGAGCCCCTTCTCTGAAGGTGCTTTTCTGGGTGGGGCAGTGAGGGATGGTGACTAGTGAGATCCCTGAGGCCTCACTATAGCAAATAGGGCCGGCAGCCAACAGAGCCCTGCTCAGGAGGTGGCAGAGAATGAGCAAAGAAGAGCCTGGCTAGTAGAGGGACTTGGAGCCGGCCTGGCCTCTCTCCAGGCTCCTCCCCACAGCAACCGCCCCGACACTTTGTCACCCCTTCCCCTTCCTTCCCACCCCCAGCCATCACCACGCCTTGCTTTGGCCTTGTAGCTGCGCTGGGCCTTTAGTTCTCCTCCCCAGGACGTGGGCAGGGTCTGTCCACTTCACACCCCGAATGTCCAGCAAAGCACTGGGCTCAGGGATGCCCACTGGTCTACTACCCAGCCCCATTCACACGCTCAGGATGGGAGGGAGGCTTTAACTAAGTCTTGCCCCAAGTCCTGCCCAGGATGTGCCCAAACACTCCAACGTCCTGGCTGCTCAGTGGCCTGTCAGGGGACAGCACAGTCTGCTGGACTGACACACTCATCCCAACGCCATCACCCAATGTCCCCTCTCCATGGAGTGTGTTTCTGTCGGGTGTTGCCTGCAGGGAAGCACCTTTGAGATGCAGCAGGGGTCGCCCCTGCAGAGTCATTTCCCGGGGTCAGGGGACGGGGTGGGGGCAGGGAGCAGGGGAACAGAGGGGCGAGCTCAAGCTGACGTCGTGGGAGCAGCGGATCTCTCCATTCCAGGATGAGGTGGGGGCGCAGAACGAGCCCTCCCCAGCCTCCTCCCCCAGGCTACCGGGAGAGAGCAGGAGTCTCCCTGCCTCAGAGGCCGGGAAGCGAGCCTCGGCGGGGACCCGGGCAGGGCGGAGCCAGCGGAGGCCCCACCCCCGGCGTCACCGGGCCCCCAAGGGGGGCGTCGCCCCCGCCCCCGCCTCGCGCTCCAGGTAGCGGCGGCCGCAGCTGCCGGCGTTGGCTGGCTGCACTCCCCAGCGGCCCGCGGGCCGGGGCAGGGGCGGGCCGGGGGCGTTCCCGCGGGCCGCCGCCCGTGATGTCACAATCGCGGCGGGCCGCGGCGCTCCGGGGTCGGCGGTGGGCGGCGGGCCGCGAGCGGGCGATCGAAGCGGGCAGCTCGCGCCTGAGTCATGGACTTCCCCTGGCCCCTCCTCTACCCCTCCCACTCCCTCGCCGGGCCCCCCCGCCGGGGCTAGCGTCGGCCGCGGCTCCGAGGGGGTGGGGCTGCTGGGAATGGCTGTGCCCCCTTCGGCCCCTCAGCCGCGCGCGTCCTTTCACCTGAGGAGGCACACGCCTTGCCCGCAGTGCTCATGGGGCATGGAGGAGAAGGCGGCGGCCAGCGCCGGCGGCCGGGAGCCGCCGGGCCCCCAGAGGGCCGCCGCCGTCGCGTACTTCGGCATTTCCGTGGACCCGGACGACATCCTTCCCGGGGCCCTGCGCCTCATCCAGGAGCTGCGGCCGCATTGGAAGCCCGAGCAAGTTCGGACCAAGGTAGTGGAGTGGGCGCGGGGCCGAGGATGGGGCCCTGCCGGGGCTGCCACGAGGATTCGGGGACCCAGTCCTCCCATCCTTCCAGAGTGTCGGTCCCAGGGGTGCGCGGCTGCTGCGCAAGAAAGGTTTGGAACGTGGTTTGTGTACGGATCTGTTTCGTCCCTAAGCAAAACTAGGCTCACACCTCCCTCGGCCCTGCACACGCCCCCCTTCTCGTGGGGCTCTTGGGCACGCCGGGTGGCCACCTGCCCACTGTCGGCGTGCTGCGTTTGCGGGCCTCACCCCGTGACGCTGGGTGCTGGTACCCCTCGCTGCCCAGAAGCTCGTGCCCAGCCAGCTCTGAAACCTGAGGAGGCGGGAACTTTTTAGAGACCCCCCCCCCCACCAAACACACGCATACATTTCTGCCCCACCCCATGGTGGGAGCAAATCCTCCAGGCTCTGAGCTGCCTCTATAGGTCCCTGGAGCCACTCTGTGGAATTCCAGCTAGCACCCAGCCCCTCACCATAGCTGCAGGCTCAGGCTCAGCACCCCCCACACGGGCTACCTTCCCCAGCGCCAGCTGGCCACAGGTCCCGGGACACATCTGTGGACAGAGCCATCCACTGAACCCACTCTCACAGCAGCTCCATGCAGTGGGCATTCTGGGGTGGGGTGGGGTGAGGGCAAAGTTGTGGGGAGGTTCTAAACCAAGTGTGGAGGCTGACAGACCCCCCCAACCCTGGGGAGGGAGTAGCATTTTCAAAATAAGAGGTCCAGTTTGGTGTAAGACTGTCAAGGCATCAAGCAGGCCTGAGGTTAATGCCAGCATTGACCTAACATGCCATCTACCCTCCCCCTCCTGCCTCAGTTTCCCTACTTAGAATTTGTTCGGATGATCTCTAAGGCCCTCCCAGTTCTGTCCCATTGTGCCCCATAAATCCATGATTTCTTTCTCCTTATCACCCTGCTGTCCAGAGAACCTTACTCACAGCCCAGTTGTCTCCTGCCTTTTCCGGTCAGGACCTCTGACCACTAAAGTCCTGGGATGGGTGCCAACCTTAATGCCCTCCTTGTACCTCTGCCACTGGATGGGGCACGAGGTAAAGCAGAGCCCACTGCCTGGCACAAGGTGAGAGGCACCTAGTCAGGATGTTCTGTTCTGGACAACTCCCAGCCCTCCCCTGCCACATTCTGGTCCCTAGGGTTTCTTTTGGTGCTGGGATGGAGGGTAAGGAGCGGGAGGGTGCCTTTGCCTCCCAAGTAGTGTGGAAATTTCTCCACTGCCAAATCCCATTCACTAGAGGCAGACCCAGGAGTGTATGGAAGCTGAACCCAAGCTACCTCTTTTTTTCTTGAACTCTATAGAGACTGGAGACCCCCAAGGTTGGGGACAGAGTAGAGCATGAGTGACTTGGCTAAAGCACTGGGGGCTTGGGGTGGTTGTGCTCAGCATTCAAATGAGCACCTCCTGCAGGAGCTACAGAGCCCTGGGGAGAGACCAGAGAGACCCTGCCCCACCCCCACTCACGCACTGCCCTCTCCACATGCCAGCGCTTCACGGATGGCATCACCAACAAGCTGGTGGCCTGCTACATGGAGGAGGACATGCAGGACTGTGTGCTGGTCCGGGTCTATGGGGAGCGGACGGAGCTGCTGGTGGACCGGGAGAATGAAGTCAGAAACTTCCAGCTGCTGCGAGCACATGGCTGTGCCCCCAAACTCTACTGCACCTTCCAGAATGGGCTGTGCTATGAGTACATGCAGGGTGTGGCTCTGGGGCCTGAGCACATCCGTGAGCCCCGGCTTTTCAGGTGAGGAGGGTGCCAGGGCCTCTGTCTCTACTATTCTTCAAGACTTAGGCTTGGAAATCTTTGGCATGTGGGGTCTGTAGTGGAGACTTGTAAGATCTAAGAGTTCCCTGAAATTGCATAAAAAAATGCATGTTTACAGGCATTGCTCTGCAGAGAACGGCTATAGCTTTCCATGGATTTTAAGCGGTGTCTGCTAGAAGGATGGCTTCTGGGGGAGGAAAGGAAAAATTGTCGTGAGCATGGGACCAGAGGACCTGGTTCCCTAAGTGCAGCAGAGGTCTGCTTCCTGGTACTGTACCTCAAACCTCTGCCCACTCCAAGTCTGACCTGGAAACATCTCAGAGCCTTAGAAACTAAATCTGAGCCAGATCCCCAGGACACTCAGGGTTTTCTACCTCTGTCTCTGTTTGTCAAGGAAAATGGGCCCTATCCAGGGTAAGCATGGTTTACCAGCCCAGGGAGATGCTACCTCTCCTGCCAGTCTGAGCTCCTTCCAGGCTCCCTAACGAGGTGGGAACCCAGGTTTGGGGAATTGTCAAGGCCTCCTTTCAAAGGCTCACAACAACCTGTGGCTCCTGGGAAACCCCTCCCAGTAAATGCTTGGATGTGGTGGGCCCAGGAGGAACTGGATTTTTCCTTCAAGCCCTGGGGATGCTGTAGAGCCTGGAATGGGGGAGGACCAAAGAAGGATCCCTAGTATCCCTCTTTCCTCTGTGCCAGAACAAGGATGGCAAGCAGTGTCCTCCTTCCTCCCTCCAATGCCATGACCCACATGGAGGGCACTGACTTGAATGAGGCCTGAGGCAGGCTGGGGTTTACTCCTGCCACTAGGACAGGGGCACAGGGGTCTGCCTAGGAGTCTTGGCGTTTGCCCAGGCTAATCCAAGGGGAAGAAGGCCTCACTTACTGAGGAGAAACAAGTACACCTGGGGGTAGAGCAAGAAGCTTCTTTGCTTCATCACCTGCCACCCACGTAACCCCAAGTGCATGTGGCTCTCTTTGTGTATGCCTTTCAGGACCTCAGAAGAAGAGGATCTGAGAGCCCTTCCACCCCCGTGCTCCTAAGCTGCTGGTCGGGTGGCATGTTTCAGTTATGTATTGTAGCTGTGTGTGTGTATCTTGAGGGTGTGAGGCATATTAACCTATGCAAGGGTGTTTGCATGTTCCTGCTGAACAGCTCCAAAAGTACCCAGACTAGAAATTTGAAGTCACAGCAGGGTACAGGGGACCCTGTCCTGACTTCTGCCACTGCACTCCCCACAGTGCTCCCTTAGTCTGGTGCAAATAAGCTCGGATATGGGCAGGTCTCACCACTCCCAGGATCCCTCTGCTTCTATGTATCCGAGGCTGTCACTCATCCTCTCATGCAAACAATTACCATTGTCAAGAAGATTGAAGGTGGATTTAGGTTCCCTGAGAAGAAGAATGTGGCATCTGGGGGAGAGCCAGAAATTGGGATAGGTGTGGGAGGTAGGCCCTTCCTTGATGATTTTCCCAGGATAGACCATCATTTCTCTGGGTGAAGTGATGTCTTCGGGAAAGGCCTCCAGGAGCCACCCTCTACATGTTCCCTTGAACCCCACCCCCAGCCTCGGCCTGCTGAGGCTTTGCAGCCTGAAAATGCTGAGTGTTGAGGTTACTTTCATTGCTATTCCAAACAACAGCCCTATTGATATTCAAGAAAACGCTCCGTTCATGCTCTGTTCCGAATCTTCCTTTGGGAAGGGAAGGCCTGAGTCTCAGGTCTGTTTCCCTGCCTTGCGCAAACCCTGGTGGGTTCCCTTCTTCTGCCCCAGGGCTCTGGCCTCTGAAAGAAAGCACAGCCTTCCTCTCTCACCCACGTGGTTGCTGCCACGCCCCTTGTCTCCTCTACCCTTTAGGAGGTGGGGGCCTTGGGGGCATCCAGAGGAATCCCAAAACTGCTCTGTTATCCCAATAGGATATGGCCTGCCTCTTCCCAGGGCCTGGCAAGAGAGAGGATGTCGGTGAAACAGCTTGGTAACAAGGTTTCAAACAGCCAATGCCTTTGTTGTCTTTCCCAGTGATTGTTATTCGAGCAACAGGCAGAGGCTGTATGTTGGAAGGAAGCTGACTGTTGGAGGCTTAGCAGACGGCTGGGGGGTGGGGCTGCAGAAGGGAGGACTGGCAGGGGACTGGGAAGGCCCAGCTGGGACACAGGGCCTCCGGCAATGGGGTCCTTATCAAGGCCCTCCTTCTCTGACCGGTCAGCCTTCCACTCACCCCCACCTTCTCCCAGCAACCTTCCCTACCACCCACTCCTTCTCTCCTGAGACCTTGGATAAATGTCCACAGGAGAACTTGAAAATAGAACGTTGGTTTGTTTTGCGTCCTTGGCACTCAGCCGCCAGCATTAACTCCCGAGGAAGGGGCTGCCCTGGGCCAGTCTGATTTCCTCCCCACCTTGGCCAGGCTGATAAGAGGCAGGCATTTCTTCCCTGCCTGGCATCACCACCCCCGATCTCTTGGTGCAAAGTGATCTATGTTCAGGTACCCTGAGAGGATGGGTCAGAGTCCAGGGGGAGGAGAAGCTGGCCCGCCCCCATCCCCGAGTGCCCCTCTGTTCTCAGGGGTTGCCGTGGGTACACTGGGGTAAGGCAAGGCCACTGACCTGTGACCAACAGCCCACTGCTCTGCCCTTCTGCTCCCTGAGGCAGCCCCAGCCTGATACTGGAAAGGGAGCTGCTGCCAAGCTAAGGTCTTAATTTATTTTCCTTCCTTCGGCCAAGACCTTCCCTCTGTGGGACCTGTGCTTCTAAAGGACTTGCGATCATCCCATCCTTGGCCCTCTGGCTATTGCCCTGGTGGGCCTGGAGGGCCCCTATCTGGCCAGGAGGGGATGAGTGGGGAGGGCATGTCCCAGCACTGATGCTCTACTCTTCCTGTTCCCTGCTGTAGGTTAATCGCCTTAGAAATGGCAAAGATTCATACTATCCACGCCAACGGCAGCCTGCCCAAGCCCACTCTCTGGTACAAGATGCACAATTATTTCACGCTTGTGAAGAACGAGATCAACCCCAGGTACAAAGATCTGGGAGGGTCCAAGGCTGCCTTAATGTGATCTGCCTTCCCCATCCTTTTGGTTTCAGCCCACCCTGCCAGGAGGTTTAAGGACTCAGGTCCTGGGGAGGGGGTTGGGGAGTTTCCCCTGCAGTACCTTCAGTCCTAGCTGCTAAGCCTCTGTCTCCAAGCAGAGTTAGGCCTGTTGATTAAATCTCAGGAGCTTAGATGAACAGTTTTAAACCAGTGTGCTCATTTCTCCTTGACTCTCTGATTGTGGCAGGGACCAGGGTTGGGGACAACATTTCCCCATTTTGCTTAGCAGTTGCTGAAGCTCAGAGACTGAGCTTGGCCCAGTGTTACGGGGTTTGTGAGAGGCAGGGCTTCTGTTTCTCAGCCCAGCGCTATCTCCACCTGCCCTGCCTTCTGAACCATGAGCAGGGCAGGGCCCTCAGAATGAGGTGGGACTGAACTTAGCATCAGAAGAACTCAACTCATCAGCTGACAAGCCCTTGGGACATCAAGGTTCCTGCTACTTCCCAAGATCTTTCTTGTCCCCATGTGCCTTTGGGGACCATATCCCCACCTTGCTCAGACTGATAGCTTGCTGCTTCCCTCACTGCTTTTCCCAAGAAAGGAGGTAGACCACCCATCCTGACATTGCCTTTCCCCAGGGAAGACAGGGTTCCCTGAGTTTTCCCTTAAGCACTTGGACCAGCAACCTGAGAGTCCTGTAACCTTTAGACACCTGACTCCCCAACACACCCTGAGTGCCGAGGAAAAGATGGAGGCCTGGAGGAAAGAATGGTGTCTTGCCTTCCGTCCTCCAAATAAAAGGCAGGAGTGAGTCTCTGATTCCTTCACGCTCCTTTTTGGAATTGGCCATCACCGGAGTTCCAAATGTTCATGGGAGTAGGGTGCAGAAGAGGTTTGGGGGGAAGGATGTGTCTTCTTCTAAGATGACAAGATAATAATGAACTCCATCCCCATTTTGAGTATGTCTCTGTCACCCACATGCATGACTTTATCTGCATCCTCCCATGCCATGCTTATCAGGCACTGCATTGGGACTATTTGTCCATGGTGGCCAAGGCCTGCCCTCTCTTTGACCATGTTCAGACCTTGCCTGTCAGATATTCTGTCTGAGACAGGGACTTCCTTTTCCCTCAGGGCTAGAACAGTTCACAGAGAACAGGTCCTTCCAATCCTTCAGCCCACAGCTTTTATTTGACAGATGGAAAACCGAGGCCCAGGGAGGGGATGGGACTTGCCTAGGGTCACTGATCAGTGGCAGCTCAGGAACTAGAGCTAGGCCTCTGGTACTCAGACATGGTCCTGAACTCTACAGCTTCCTTTGGCTGTGCTGCCAGTGTGTGACCTTGAGGGGTACTGGAGGGAGTAATCCCTGGAGGAGAGCTAGCCCAATCTCTTTGCTCTTGTCACACCTTTGAACCTTGAACAAATCAAGTCACTTGACTTCTTTGAGCCTCTTTAGGGGATGATCCATGCCCTAAGCTGCCTGACTGCCCAAAAGCGGAGCCTCAATGAGCAATCATTTAGACGAGATAAGCACCTGGAGCTCCAGGCATTGCCTAATAACCCTGGATTATTCAGTCCTTCATTTCACAGACATTGATTGACTGGGATTTAAAACAATATAAAAATGAATGTGACATTGGCCCTGCCCTCAAAGAGCTTAAGAGCCATCTGGGTATACAGGACACAGCCATGCACAGCTGCAAAAGAAGTCAGGGTGTGTAATATATGCTGGGGGTGGGAGACCAGGGAAAGTTGTCTTGGCAGAGGCGGCGTGGCAGAAATGAGCAGGGAGGCTACTCCAACTGGAGGAGATGGCTGGAGTGGGGTTTGCTCATGAGTGATGAGTAGATGAGGTTGGCTGGAGCAGATCTTTGGGAGGATTTGACTCTTAGAAAGAGTCTTGTGGGGAGAAAGACTCTTGCCTGCCGAGATCCTGACAGCGGAGTGGAGTCTGGCCAGGCAGCAGTCCCAATATCAGGAGGAACCCCAAGGCCTCCCTGCAGAGACCTGCAGCCCCTTCCTCCCCGTCCTGCTGACTCGGGGGCAGAGGAGCGGGAGGAGCAGTTTTTCCTGGGCGGTGTTTCTGGGATGTGGTGGTGGTTACTCTTCTGCCAATCCCACAGTCTTGAAAGAGCCCCATGGTGGCGGAACTGAAGGTAGCAAAGCTGACAATGTTTCAAGTGCTCAGGGGAGGGAAACAGAGCAGTGAGGGAGGCCCTGAGGAGACGGAAGGCCAGGATTGTTCCCACAGTAACCATCTGCGTGGCCTTGGGGTGGGCACAGTGAGGGTCAGACTGAGGTCAGGGACAGAGCAGCAGGCATCTTGGATGTCAGAGCCATGTTTTTCAGTCCAGGACCTGAGCAAATCAAAGGACCCCTCCCGGTTCTTCTCTTTCGATGGTCAGTCTAAGAAAAAAAAAGGAATCTTAAAAGGTAGCTTCTTAAGAAGAGTCAAGACTGAAACATATCTTATGCAGACCTGTCGACACAGATAAACTCCAGGAAGCATGGGGGAGGCTTCCCCCATATCACTCCTCCCAGTGGACTCCCTGGACTCAAAGAGGCCTTTGCAGAGTCTCTGAAGGGCACCCAGGCCTTCAGAGAGAGTACACAGGCTTCACAATTAGAAGGCTCTATTCAATTTGGATCCTTGGACAGGCCAAGGACTGCTTTCCTTAGACGAGGAAGTAGAGGACCCAGCAGTGCAAGAGATATCTGGAGGCTGGGAGGAAGCCTCTTTCCTTCCTTGAGCCTCAGTTTCCCCATGGGGCTGGACTAGATCACCTCAGATTTTTTTTTTTTTTTTTTTTTTGAGACAGAGTCTCACACTGTCACCCGGGCTGGAGTGCAGTGGTACATTCTCAGCTCACCACAACCTCCACCTCCCGGGTCCAAGAGATTCTCCTGCCACAGCCACCTGAGTAGCTGAGATTACAAGCGCCCACCACTAGGCCCAGCTAATTTTTTTAATATGTTTATTAGAGATGGTGTTTCACTATGTTGGCCAGGCTGGTCTCGAACTCCTGACCTCATGATCTGCCCACCTCAGCCTGGGATTACAGGTGTGAGCCACTGCGCCCGGCTAACCTCAGATCTTCTTTAGCTTTGACTTTCTCAAAGCCTGGAAGAGAGTCTGTCCTCTCTTCCTTCCCCAGCTGGGACAGAGGGGCGCCTCAGTCACTGAATACTCTTCCTCGTGTTCTGGCCTCTGGGCTGGGTGAGGGAGCGATTGGTCTGTCCCGTGAGAAGGTGAGAGAGGACCACTCTCATTCTCATCCTCCTCTACGTGCTCTTGCTGCCCTGGACAGAGAAACACAAACAGGTGACACAGGAATGGAGAACAAAGCCCAGCCTCCTCCTCTCTGTCCATTGGTGGTTCTAGGTTTTTAAGGACTGCGATAAGTGTTTGGCCTTTTCAGTGTACACAGACCTGTGTGCCTCCTGGGGACAAAAGTTCAGAGTACATGAGGACAGCGTACCCTCATCAGACTTCCACATGGCCTTTGATAACTTGATTGATTGGTTTCTTCATTCCCCAACATGTGTTTCTTTCAGCAGTAAAGACTGCTGGGTGCATGGGATGGGGGTGGGGCAGAAGGAGAGGTGGACCCATGCAAATTTGTTCATGCCGCCAAGTTGCCTGTGCATGGTCTGGCAGGGGTCTGGGACCAGGGAACACGTACTCATAACTCAACGTAGAAGGGATGAGTCACTGGGGAGCCGACAAAGCAAGCATGCTCTCATTGAAGGCTTTAGCGTTCCTTTGACAGTGTAGGAGTGAACTAAAGAAGCTCTTTGTGGCCGGGCACGGTGGCTCACGCCTGTAATCCCAACACTTTGGGAGGCGGGCAGGTGGATCACGAGGTCAGGAGTTCAAGATCAGCCTGGCCAAGATGGTGAAAGCCCATCCCTACTAAAAATACAAAAATTAGCCAGGCATGGTGGCAGGCGCCTGTAATCTCAGCTACTTGAGAGGCTGAGGCAGAGAATTGCTTGAACTCAGGAGGTGGTGCAGTGAGCTGAGACCATGCCACTGCACTCCAGCCTGGGTAACAGAGCGAGATTCTGTCTCAAAAAAAAAAAAAAAAAAAAATAGTTCTCTGTTTGCTTTCTCATATGAGCTGATGGTCTGTTTGTGAGATGAGAGGTTAGACCATAAAGTCCTAGGATTAAGAAGATTTTAATTACAAAAGAAAAGAGAGGTTAGACCAGCCTGTCTCTCTGGTCCCTTCTCCCTGTGACACGGTGAGCTGCTGGGGTGAGCGGAGGCACACCAGGACATACTTCTGCCTCCTCAAGAGAGCTCCATTGCTCCAGCTCCCTGCCAGGGCTCTGCTCTTCCTCCCAGGGAGGAGCTTGTAAGAGAGTCTCAACTTAGGGAGCAGCACCTCCTCCTGGTGAGTTTTCCCAGCATCCTAAGAGTGGGTCTGTTTTGCATCCCTCCCCACTGCTCACATTGCCCTTGCTCTCTCTTATTCTGGAATCCCCGAGTCTGGACACTTGTTCTCACCTGCCCTGTCCTTTCCCTTTGTCTCCTTCCTTACCCTCCTGTCCCTTTCACAAAATAGCAGGGATGCCCTCAGCCAGTGACTTTTATGCCCTGCCTCATGCATTTATGCCCATGTCTTATTCAGCTTCCTAGTGTAACCAGAGAAGTCAGATGGACAGGAAGCCTCAGTGCCATTTTACAGATGATAAAAGTGAAGGTCTAAGAGACTGGCCATTTTCCCAAGGTCCCCCTGCAGTAAGACGGAGGGAGTGATAAGGTTCGAACTCAGGACTCTCGAGGCCAAGCGCCCCCCTGTCTATCAGCCCTCTCTTCACTGGCTACCTTTTTTTGCCACTGTCCAGCCTTTCTGCAGATGTCCCTAAGGTGGAGGTGTTGGAACAAGAGCTGGCCTGGCTGAAGGAGCATCTGTCCCAGCTGGAGTCCCCTGTGGTGTTTTGTCACAATGACCTGCTCTGCAAGAATATCATCTATGACAGCACCAAAGGTATGGCTTCCCTGGCCCTGGGACAAGCAAAAGGAGACCTGGATTTAGGTCTTTAGAGACAGGGTTTCGCTATGTTGCCCAGGCTGGAGTGCAGTGACCATTCACAGGCGCAATGCCACTACTGATCAGCACGGGAGTTTTGACCTGCTCCGTTTCCAACCTGGGCCAGTTCACCCCTCCTTAGGCAACCTGGCGGTCCCCTGCTCCTGGGAGGTCACCATACTGATGCCGAATTTAGTGTGGACACCTGATGGGCATAGCGCACTACAGCCCAGAACTCCTAGGCTCAAGCGACCCTCCCATCCCAGCCTCCCAAGTAGCTGGGACTACAGGCACGCACCACTGCACCCGGCGGATTTAGGTATTAAGTTAATTTATAGGAGGGAAGGGAAAAAGCAAATAAAAGTTTCCCACTTTGAAAAATCTGTGCCAAGGGCCGGGCACAGTGGCTCATGCCTATAATCCCGACACTTTGGGAGGCCAAGGCATATGGATTGCTTAAGCCCAGGAATTCAAGACTAGCCTAGGCAATGTGGTGAAACCCTGTGTCTACCAAAAAAATACACAAAACTTTGCCCAGTATGGTGGTGCATACCTATAATCCTATCTGCTCAGGAGGCTGAGACAGGAGGATCACTTAAGCCTGGGAGGTGGAGGTTGCAGTGATGGAGCCACTACCCCCCAGCCTGGGTGACAGAGTAAGATCCTATTTAAAAAAAAAAAAAAAAAAAACTGTGCCAAGAAAGAACTCAAAATCATGGTTTGTGGAGGTCCTCAATGGTAGGGCACTTAAGCCATTACTCCTGACAACTCTGGGCTTCTGAGAACACTGTGGCTGTCCTGAGCCTTCAGGGAGGGAGGGGAGAGGGGAGGGGGGGTGGGAGGGAGAGAGAGAGAGAGAGAGGAGTAGAGGAGAAGAGGAGAGAGGGGAGAGGCACAGCACACCTCCTGGTGTTGCTGCCGACAGCATCACTCCAGGGAGTATTAATACTTAGCTGTATTCCTCATCCTTAGCCATGCTGAGGACAGATGTCTTTAGATGAGGAGGCCCTGAAGATCCAGCTGTGTGAGAGGGACAACTGGGAGCTGGGAAGGGCAGATAGATGGATGGAAGGAAGTAACTTAGAAGACTACTGCAGCGATGCGGTTGGGCAGGGTTGCTGCAACGGCCTGCATTAGTCAGTGGGTACATCCCAGAGGTCAGTGGAAGTTTGACCAGGCCCATTTCCAGATCTCCTGAGCCAACTCTCATCGACTGGCCTCTGTTTCATAGGTCACGTGCGATTCATTGACTATGAATATGCTGGCTACAACTACCAAGCTTTTGACATTGGCAACCATTTCAATGAGTTTGCAGGTGAGAGGGGCATTGCTACTGTCATGTGCTGCGTAGTGATGTTTCAATGACTGACCTCATGTAGATGGTGGTCCTGTGAGACTACTGTATGTTTATGGTAACAGGTACCCTATTTTCACTGTACCTTTTCTATGTTTAGATATGTTTAGATAAAGAGCTACTTAGCACTGTGTTATAGTTACATACAGTATTCAGTACAGCAACGTGCTGTACAAGTTTATAGTCCGGGAGCGACAGGCTGTACCGTGTAGCCTGTGTGTAGTAGGCTGTCCATCTAGGTTTGTGTAAGTACACTCTGTGATGATCACACAAAATCACCTAATGGTGCATTTCTCAGAAGGTATCCCTGTCATTAGGCAATACAGGACTATATTTGACCACTGTTCAAAGCACCTTCTTTATGATGGGGACCAGGGCGGGGCATGGGGAGGGCCAGAGGGGTTCTGTACTTGGAGGGTAGAGGCTAGATAGCTTTTGTCCTCCAAAATATCACAGCTTGAAGGGTTAAGGCACAGCCTGCTTTTAGAGAGTTCCAAGTCTCGTTGGGGGAGCCAGGACTCACATACACAGGGCAGACCTCTCTTAGCCCATATGGCACTTTGGTACCAACTAAGAAAATGTGACCTCTGTAGGATCCCTGAAGATACTCAGCTTGGTACACAAATTAGAAAAAGACCCCTTCCAAGGCCGGGCGCGGTGGCTCACGCCTGTAATCCCAGCACTTTGGGAGGCTGAGGCGGGTGGATCACGAGGTCAAGAGATAGAGACCATCCCGGCCAACATGGTGAAACCCCGTCTCTACTAAAAATACAAAAAATTAGCTGGGCATGGTGGCACATGCTTGTAATCCCAGCTACTCAGGAGGCTGAGGCAGGAGAATTGCCTGAACCCAGGAGGCGGAGGTTGTGGTGAGCCAAGATCGCACCATTGCACTCCAGCCTGGGTAACAAGAGCAAAACTCTGTCTCAAAAAAAAAAACAAAGAAAAAGACCCCTTCCTCCAGGTGGACACAGACAATTGCTGCGGCTTGGCTACCACAGCACAGGATGACTTCAGCCTCCGCTCCTTTGTCCAAGGTCCTTTATGCCCAGTGCAACTGGTGAAGTTGTACATGGGGGCCTTCCATGCAGATAAGGAGCAGAACAAGCTATAAGTAGCTGTTTGCCTGGTGGCCTGATGAGAATCGTCTTAGTAGAATCTAAGAATGTGCTATGTAATTTGACTCCCTAAGTTCAGTTCCTGGCTTTGCTGCTTACTGGATGTGTGACCCTTGGGCAATTTATTTACCCTCTCTGTGCCCCTATAAAATGGAGATCATAATAGTACCCACTTCATAGTGTTGATATGAGATACACACACACACACACACACACACACACACACACACACACACACACATCTGACACATACTAAGCATTGTATTGGCGTTTGGTGCTGTGATTAGACTGGGAAGCTTTCCGGGAGTGGGAATGGAAGGGGCAGTGTAGGGGGATGATGATTCCTAGGGTAGGCAGTTGTTCTATAAAGGCATGGTATGCACAATGGAACCATTTGTGTAAAGGAAGCAGGGCAGGTTTTTCCAGCTTGAGACTTAATTAGGTGGGACCGAGGAGGCAACTCACATGGATGGAGCTGGACACTGGGACTGGAGAGCTGTCCCCAGACTAGCACAGTGAGGGGTTCACATGATGGGGCCGGGCCCTGTGGCTCAGGATAGGAAAGGCATGCCCAGGCCAACTGGAGAGCCACTCTCCACCAGCACCATCAGGCCAACTGTGTTCCTTCCAGAACCCCAGGCAATGAATCTGTTGAGCATTGACTGTACCTGAGAGTACACCTAGGAATGCCTGGAGTGATGGGGCCTCAGCTGGGCAGAACAGCCGAGTCTCAGGGTGTGCCATGGAGCAGAGGCTGGTACCAGCAGGGCCCTGGGCCTGGGAATGCTTGGATGCCAGGCCCACTGGCCTTTCCATAGAGGATAATTCTTAAGCGTTTTAAGTTCTTCTCACCCATGGCACAGAGCAAAGTCCAGCTGGAATTTCTCCAAAGGGGTAGATTGCAGCCTGCTCCCAAGTTGAGAGTGGAGGAGGCAGAACCTAGCATGGGGGAAGAAAGAGAGCTGGGGAGATCCAGACCTGGGGAGAGGGACCTCACGGATACGCAGGAGTGAGGAAGACGGTTCTGGGCACTGGGAGATGAAACTTCTGCCTCTAACCACCTTTGAGCTTGAGCACACTTCTCTTCTGTGGGCCTCCGTTTCGACATCTGTTCCAGGAGATTCTTTTCTAGCCACACTCCTGGAGCTTCAGGACACTGTGTATGTTTCTCCAGGGATATAAAGGAAGCTTGAGAAGGACAAGAAGAGGAAGGAGGGGACGCTGGAGAAGGTGGCCCAGTCCTGGTCTTGTCTTATAAACTTCTTTTTCTACCAGCTCTGAAGCCACGGTCTGTTCCACCATGCCCAGGATGAGGCTGGTGATACTGGGCTGGCAGCTGGAGGGCTACAGCAGGGCTGGAAGGAACCAGAGCCATCTGATCCATGGGTTCCCAGCCCAGCTACGCATCTGAACCATCTGGAATATTGGCCTTGGGTGGGGTGCTCTCCGGGTGATGTTTTTAAGTAGCCAGCTTAACACCAGGAAGCCATGTTTGATATCCCTACATGAAGTCTGGCTCCCTCATTTGATAAATGAAGAGATTTCAGCGAGTGATAGGAAAGGGCTCCCCTAAGGTTAATGATGTTAGCATGAGGCCTAGGACTGGCAATGCTGATCCAGGGCTAACTGAGGGCCTCCTGTGCACTGGCATTTTTGTGCAGTGGATGGGAGAGACCCTGGAGCTATCTCAAGGGGTTCCTGTGACTCCCAGGATGGTGTCTTGCTTCTTAACCAGTCTGCCTCTCTCTCTGCTTTCCTCAGTCCCACAGAAGCAGTGCTCCTAGCTGGGATGGGGTAGACCCCCACACTAGCTGAGTTTTGTAATCAAAGAAGCTGCCTGCTCAGGGCCACCTTCTTGGGCACAGCCTGCAGGTCAAAGGAGATGGGAGTTTTGAGGGGAGAAGGGAACACTACTGAGCTGGAGGAGACCCTAGGTGGGCCCATCTCCCAGCAACTTGTATCTGGCCTGCCTCCCCATCAGGCGTGAATGAGGTGGATTATTGCCTGTACCCGGCGCGGGAGACCCAGCTGCAGTGGCTGCACTACTACCTGCAGGCACAAAGGGGAATGGCCGTGACCCCCAGGGAGGTGGAAAGGCTCTACGTGCAAGTCAACAAGTTTGCCCTGGTGAGTGCCTTGTGACTAGGGCTGGGGCAGGAAAGGAGTCAGCAGGAGGGGCTGGTGACCCACCTAACCTCCTACCCGGAGCCCAGGGCTAGGTGAGAGCCTGGGGACATCCATCCCCGGCTCTTGACCCACCCTACAGGTGAAGCCTGGGAAGAGCCCTCTTAGGCAGCCCTTAATATTTGATGTCCAGTTCCCTGCTCCCCCCAGCCCCACCAAATCTAGGCTCTCTCCTCTCTAGAGAAACTTCCAAGAAATAGCCTACCTTCCTGTTAGCAATTCCCTTGTTTGAATAAGTAGTTCTACCATCTAACCTCAGCCCTTCATGCTGCAGTCAAATTCATCCATATACATATATACATACTTTTTTTGAGGCAGGGTCTCACTCTCTTGCCCAGGCTGGAGCACAGCGACACAATCATTGCTCACTGCAGCCTTAAACTCCTGGGCTCAAGCGATCCTCCCACCTCAGCCTCCCGAGTAGCTAGGACCACAGGTGTGTACCACCACTCCTGGCTAATTTTTTTAAAACTTTTTGTACAGATAGGATATTGGTATGTTGCTCAGGCTGGCCTCTAACTCCTGGCCTCAAATGATCGTCCTACCTCAGTCTCTTGAGTAGCCACAGTTACAGCTCACGCTGCCATGCCTGGCTGTGTGTGTATGTGTGTGTGTGTGCATGCGTGCGTTTATGTATATATATATATATATATTTTAACCTTTAGAGAAGATAGAGAATGTCAAGCTCTAATCCTTCTTTGTAACTACCTCCACTGACTCAGAACTCTAAGTAAGCTTTTCCCAACAGGCTCTTCCTGCTCAAATGAGTCTGCTGTCACTTCTTAATTCTGAATGCCCCTTATCCAAGGCACCTGGCCATGCCAGGGCTCCACTGGTGTGTGCTCAAGGATTGCTAACTAGTCTCATTCATGTCAGCTGCGCGTTAGTAAGAAGCTAAGTCAGCTGCCTGGAATTTCACAGTACAGAAAAGAGCTAAATAAAATCTTTACTTTTCTGTAATTTCAGATTCCCTATTCTGTTTTCCTCACTGGCATAAAACTGATTCTATATTAGGCTCTTCCTCCTCAGTCTTAAGACTTTAAGACCTTAAGAACAGGCCTTCCTCTTGCTTAGTGTTTCAATGATCATTCATACATGCTAGCTTACTATGCCCCTTTTAAATGATGGAAAGGAAATAAAGTGTAGCCAACCCCTGAGTGAGGAGGAATCTGGGATGGGGTGGGAATGGGATGGGAGAGCCACAAGGGTGGGGGCACTCGTGTGGGAAAGTGATGGTGTCACTAGTGTTTGCTCAGGGGTACATGGGAACCACAGCTCCCTGGCTTTCTTTTTTTTAACTTTTATTTTAGGTTCAGAGGTATACATGCAGGTTTGTTACATAGGTAACCTGCAAGTCACTGGGGTTTGGTGTACAGATTGTCTCATCACACAGGCAATAAGCATAGTGTGCGACAGGTCGTTTTCCAGTCCTCACCCTCCTCCCACCCAGTTCCTGGCCTGGTGGGTACCTCCAGCCACAAGGAGAGCAGAGTTTGATGCTCAGCAAATGCCCAGGCTGGGGGGTTCTTGTTTCCATATCTAGGTTCATTTTTCTAGCCCAACCAGCCTCCCAGTAGGAGAGAGGAAAAGGAGTGGAGGAGGTTAGTGTGGGGATCTTCAGGCAGACACGTGGCCAGGGCACTGCTGCCCATCGCTCTTCCTTCCCTGCACCTTCCTGAAGGGCACTAGCCCCCACTGGCTGTTAGGCCTAAGCTCTGGCTTAGCGGTCCATCTTGGCCTGGATACCTTGGCCTTGAAGACTCCGAGAGATTCCCCTGGGTGGGGAAGAGGCCAGAGGTGGCGTGTGGGTCCTGCTTAGGTTGTGGGCACTCCCTGAAATTCCTCACTGCTGACTACCCACCTGAGGGTTGGTGAACACCGGGGCCTTGGTAGAACTGGCTCTGCCCACCTTTCTCTAATAAGAGTGGAGGCTCCAAATGCTGTGCAGTGACTTGGGCTCCATAATTTCCCCAGCCTGTGCTGGGGAGACCCCACCACATCTCATCCAGGGTCCTAGCTGTGTGTCTTCCACAATGACTCCATCCCTACAGCTCTGTAGAGTCAGAAGGAGGCATGGTGAGATTGCCCGGCTGACCCTCTCTGGTCTGTTTCCAGGCGTCTCACTTCTTCTGGGCTCTTTGGGCCCTCATCCAGAACCAGTACTCCACCATCGACTTTGATTTCCTCAGGTGAGTGTGGGGGTGATGGTGGGGTGTGGACAAAAGGGACAGCCTTGGTTGAGCCCAGGGTGCAGGCAAAGGACAGCCCAGGCAGAATGCCCAGAGTCCGCTCCCCTGCTCTGCTGACTCGCCCCCGTTCCAGCTCATCTCCAGCAGAGCCATTGCCCCCAGGGGATGCCAGGAAAGTGCCACTCTGAAAAGAGAAGTGTCACATCCTCCCTGTGCCTTGTAGGAGGTCTGCTAGTCCCCACTGCATCCTACTGCCCACTTCCTGCCCTGCTGCCAGTGCACCTATCCACGGAGCCTGGTGGCGGATGGAATTGTTGAAAATCAGTCTGAATTCTCGCAGGTCCTATCCTCATTTTACGGCAGAGAGGACAGAGGTCCTGAGAGCGGAAGTGTCTTGCTGAAGTCATGGGCTGGTTAAGTGTCGCCACGCCGCCTTCTGGTTGGGCAACAGGCCCAGCTACTCCTTCAGAACTCCTAACATACATAGCTAGCCGCTGCTTGCATATTGATGATTTAGGGGGTCCCTGTCCTGTGAGGTTCCTATGTCCCAAAGCACCAGGAATCATTTCTTCCTCCATTCTTGTCGAGGGCCTTGCCCTTCTCCTCCTTACCTACCTTCAGCTGAAAGGGAATCACTACCCTGGCTTCAAAGTGTTCATAAGAGAAATGCAGATGAAAAGCATGGTGAGATGTCACCTCACCCCATTAGGATGGCTGCTATTAAAAAAACAGAAAATAAGAATTGTTGGTAAGGATGTGCAGAAATGGGAACCTTTCTGTACCATTGGTGGGAATATAAAATGGTGAGCTACTGTGAAAAACAGTATGGTGGTTCCGTAAAAAAGAAAAATGTGACTTCCGTATGATCCAGCAATCCCATTTCTGGGTGGGCAGCCAAAATCACTGAAAGCAGGCTCTCAAAGAAATATTTATATACCTGTGTTCACAGCAGCATTCTTCTTGGCACAGTAGCCAAGAGATGGAAGCCACCCAGATGTCTGTCCACAGATGAATGAATAAATAAAATATGGTATATACATACAGTAGAATATTAGCCTCACAAATGAAGAAAATCTGGTCACTTGCCACAACATGGATGAACCTTGAGGACATGATGCTAAATAAGCCAGTCACAAAAAGACAAATACGGTTCTATAAGAGATAACGAAAGTGGTCAGATCCATAGAATCAAAGTTGAATTGTTGCCAGGGGCTGGGGAGAGGGAGAAATAGGGAATATTGCTTAATCCGTCTAGTTTCTGTCATCCAAAATGAAAAAGTTGTAGAGATTCATGTGCACAGCAATATGAATATACTTCCCAATAGAGAACTGTAAAAACAAAACTCCAAACAAGCATGTTTGTGGAAGGGTTGCTCTAGTCTAAGAAGAAAAAATTATAGTTGAAGTTAAAAATTCAACTTTTATAGGCTCACGCCTATAATCCCAGTACTTTGGGAGTCCAAGGCAGGCAGATTCCTTGAGCTCAGGAGTTTGAGATCAGCCTGGGCAACATGGTGAAACCTCATCTTTACAAAAAATACAAAAATTAGCCAGGTGCGGTGGCGTTCACCTGTAGTCCCAGCTATTCTGGAGTCTGAGTGGGAGGATCATCTATCATCTGAGCCTGGGAGGCAGAGGTTGCAGTGAGCCAAAATTGTGCCATTGCACTCCAGCCTAGGTGACAGAGCCAGACCTGTCTCAAAATAAATAAATAAATAAATATTAAAAGAAAAAAAATAAGGCTGGGTGCGGTGGCTCACACCTGTAATTCCAGCACTTTGGGAGGCTGAGGTGGGAAGATCACGAGGTCAGGAGGTCGACCATCCTGACTAACATGGTGAAACTGCATCTCTACTAAAAATACAGAAAAGAAATTAGCTGGGCGTGATGGTGCATGCCTGTAATCCTAGCTACTCCAGAGGCTGAGGCAGGAGAATTGCTTGAACCAGGGAATTGGAAGTTGTAGTGAGTCGAGGTTGCACCACTGCACTTCAGCCTGGCAGTAGAGCGAGACTCGATCTCTAAATAAATAAATAATAAAAGAAGCAAAAGAGCTAATAATACTAATCAGTCTGGGTTGGGAATGACCTCCCCAGACCTAAATAGGCTTAGAGCCGCTGAGAAACTTCCCTCATGATGTGAGCACCCCGAGCATGGCCCACCTGCCTGCCTTCCTCACACCCAGCTTCCTTCTGTCTTCCCCCAGGTACGCAGTGATCCGATTCAACCAGTACTTCAAGGTGAAGCTTCAGGTGTCAGCCTTGGAGATGCCAAAGTGACCAGCCACCCCATCCTTCCCCACCCATCTGTCTGGCCAAACCTGTTCTCCAGAGCTCAATTCTGCGCTCCGGGGTCCACACCCTTGGCCAAGGTGGGAGAGGGGACAGGTGGGTGTCCAGGGAGAAGGCTCTGTCCCTGCCACCAGCCCCCAGTGGTGGCCACTGAAGACCTCATTCTCCTGTCCGGAGGGGCTGATAGGACCCACTTCTGGGAGTCCCTTTCACCTCACCAGGCTTGGGGGGAAAGTGCCTGCAGCCAGGGCCTGGACCATAACCACCCCTGGGAAACATCATTCCCAGACTCAGGCCATGCTGGAACTGGGGCTGCCTTACATGTGTCTTTACCCCTTCCTGGCCTGGGGAAGGAGGCGAGGAGGGCTCCTTTCTACCTCCAGTGCCCTGAGCCTCCAGCCCGTCTCCCCCTGCATGCCCCACGTGGGAGGTGCTGAGCTCCAAACCAGCATCATGCCAACCCTGACACATGGATGTACATATCTTGGTGATGCGTGGGGGCCAAGAATTGAGCATGACAGCTCCCTCAGCAGCCACCTCATCTGAGACCCTTCACCTTCTCCAAACCGGATCCAATCAAATGACCTCTTCCCAAACCTCAGCCCCAGGAAACATGCTCCCTGACATGCTCTCCTATGCTTGTTCTGTTCTCCTACTAGGGGGACAGGAGAGGGAGTGGTAAGGCCCTGGGCCTCCAGAACCTGGCTCTGCTTCGTGCTGTGGCTTGGCTGGAGGGGACATGGCCAAGGATGAGGTGGCCAAAACCAGAACCAGCAGTCTCCTGCCTTGTTCCCTCCCTGGCCTCAAGCCCTCCTTCCAGGGATGCCTCTCCAGCTCTACCTTATATCCTGAAGCTGACCTGAGGTCTCCCTATCTGGGAATGACTAGTGGGAGCCAAGAGGATGGGGTGGGGGCCAGGGGCCCCCTAGGGTCCAGCGTGGGAGGCTGGGCAGGATCCCATCAGAAAGGTGCTGACTGAGCTGGTTGCCCAGATGCTCAACAGCTTCCACCTCTTTTCTGCCCTCACAGCTCCTCGGGGCCCTCCTGGCTCTGGCCCAGAAAGTGATTCATTTGTAAATTATCATGATTTCTGCATTAAAATGCTCATTTCCGGACTGCTGTGGCTGAGTGGCAATGGTGAGGAATTGACCCCTGCATGGGGGGCTGAGGGGTGCTATAGCCCCTCCTGATGACTCCCTACAACCTGGGCTTTATGCTGAAGTCACGGTAGCAGCCTGCACACATCCTCCCCTGCACCCAGCTCCGAAGGCTCCGGAACTTCTTGTAGACCTGGGCAGGACCCCTATTTCTCTCACTCAGCTTCTCTGCCTTTGACCCTCTAGGTAGAATCTACCCTTAGAGGGAATGAGGCTGTGGATTAAAAGGACGCTGGCTGACCCAGATGAACCAGTGACGTCCTAAACACAAGTGCTCAGGACCTCTTCCTCCGTCATCTCCGGCTCCCAGCTGTCAGGGGTGGGGAAGGGGCTGCTATGAGAGTGGGCAGGAGTGATTTCTGGAACTTTCTCAGAAGGCCAGAGGGAGGAAGGAGCAGAAAGTCAAAGATGAGAAGGGGGCACCCCTCTTAGCAGCCGCCACTCTGGCTATGCTTTCCAGGCTGGGCATCAGGCAGCAGCTGATTCAGACTGCCCCCCGCCAGGAAGTGCCCAGTGCCCTTAGGGGCAGCAGTGGCAACAGCAGCCGCAGCCTGCCAGGTGGACTCTGGTTGTTTGGCTTTTGCCTGCAAAAAGCACTCTGGTGCCATGGCAACCACTGGAGCTGGCACCTGCTGCTGGAGCCTTCAAGGTCATGGTGATCCAGCATAGCCAGGCCCTCCATGGGCAGCAGCCTCGGGGGGTACCAGTGGGGGACACCGGTGAAAAAGGTGCCCAGGCGTGGGGATGGTACCAGGACTTGGCAGGTAGGGGCCCCTTAGAGTCATCCATGGTGTTAGGTGGTCACAGACACGATCTGTCTGGACTAAATAGCAGTGTCTCCACTCCTTGTTCCTCTCTGAGTCACCTCTGGAACTGAGGGCAGAATTAACACTGTGAAGCCAACTTTGTTTCTAGCCTCCTGGGCTTTGATGCTGCATCGCTGGAGGCAGCCATTGCAGTGGTGAGTAGGGAATGGCTGGAACAGACCCCCTGCCCCCATCACCCTGTGCCCCTAAAGCCCTGGACACATCTGCATGGGAAGTAATTAACAGCAGGCATCATCCCACTGCTGCCTCTGAGAAAGCATTCTCATTCCCCTAGTCCTCCAGGGGAGTGAGCCGGTATGGTGGCAGAGGGCACAACCCTGGCCCGCCAAGTCTGGGAGTTCCACCTTCACTCCTTTCACTGCCACCCTGGGCTAACCAGCACTCCTACCCTCCTGGCTGAGCACTGGGCCTTGGAGGCTCCCAAGTGTGATCTGGGTTCAGACCCCTAGCAAAGACCTCAAAGGATTCCTGGGCAGGTTCACCTTCCCAACGAGCTCTGCCCCTTGTCTCTGCCCAAGCAGCATGGAGGGGACAGACTTGTGGCCCAGCTTTCCTGTTAATGACTACAGCACTCTGCTCCTGGCTTCTGCAACCACCTGGCCCCATCCTGCCTCTCATGGAACTGGGGGGTGGGGCTCCAGGGCCCGCTCCTGTGTCTCAGCAGATGGAATAAGGCAGGCAAGACAAGAGGACTTGGGGAAGGGAAGAGGAACTCAGGACCGACAGAGAATGTGGGAGTGAGCCAGGGTGGGAGAGTCTTAAGGAGACTGGCAGAACCTGGTTTGTACGAGTGGAGGAGGCTGGGGCAGAGGGCCAAGGAGGGCAGAGCGGATGGACCCTTGGAGGTGCAATGAGCAACTCTCCCTCAGGACCACCAGGGGGCAGGCGCTGCCACCAGCTCCTCCTCCCGCCTCTGCCAGCATCTTTTCCAAACATGGGGTTGGGAAGGCAAAGGAGGCTCGGAGAACCTGAGCTGGGAAAACCAGCCCGCCAGCATCCAGGACACTCCCCACCCAGACCAAATGGCTGGGCCCTTAATTCTTGGGCAGTCTCCATTCTACACCCTCCCAACATTGGGGTCCTAGAATCAGCCACACCTACCCTCTCTCACCAGCACCCTCTCCAATCTAGAAATCCCTTCACCACAACTCAAGAGCCTGAGGACTGCTCTAGAGAGTTGGGACGTTCACGCTACTCTTTTTGTGGAGGTGTTCCTCATGTCACGCCAGCCTTGAGACCCATCCAGGAGTTCAAGTTCAGTGGCTCATGAGCTTTGTGGAATACTACACTTTGCCCCCCAGCAGCTTTGGAGAAAGCAATCTTGTCCTTTCTGTCCAACCCCCATCTCCTCTTTCCTAGAGGAGACACACCTGGCCCTTCTGACTATTCCTCTAAGGACAGTGTCCACCAGGATCCCTCCTGTGCTCCTGGGCCCTTCCACTATGAGCACAGACTTCCTAGTGAGGGGGTGAGGAAGGGCATGCTGCCCCGGGACTAGGTCTGTGTGGTGTACACTGGACCATCACCTCCCTTGTTGGGAACACAAGCCTCTATTAACCCAGCCCAAGTTCAACTCTTCCACAAGAACTGCCATTTGGTTTTGCTGTCCCTATTCCATACTGATGGGATTAATTTTTCACAAGAGTTGTTCCTCTAGACCCCGGTTAATGTGCATTTTGAGTGGTTTCAGGCTGTCATCTAGCCCTGGCAGGGCTATTACTTCTCCTAATGTGATAACTAGGTCTGAAATATTCACTCAAAACACGTGTTCAGGCCGGGTGTGATGGCTCACCTGTAATCCTAGCACTTTGAGAGGCTGAAGCGGGTGGATCATGAGGTCAGGAGTTCGAGACCAGCTTAGCCAACATAGTGAAACCCCCATCTCTACGAAAAATACAAAAATTAGCCAGATGTGGTGGTGGGTGCCTATAGTCCCAGGTACTCGGGAGGCTAGGGCAGGAGAATCACTTGAACCTGGAAGGCAGAAGGTGCAATAAGCCGAGATTGTGCCATTGCATTCTAGCTTAGGTGACAGAGTGAGACTGTCTCAAAAAGAAAAAAACAAAGAAAAACCAAAGCATGTGTCATGGATAGACAGTCCTGACCAGCATTATCATTAAAGTCCCTGCTTCATTAATTGGCACCATGGGAGCCTCTGATGGGCTTCAGGGTGTACCTTTGTGAGTCCTTTTCTGAGAAAATGATCCACAGCTTTCATTAGCGTCTCAAAGGGCTCCTTGTCTGAATGATAAGAACCATGTATAAGGTTTAATTTTGTTGTCGGATGAGGACAATGAGGCCCAATGGAGAGACCGGGCCCCCACTCCCCAACCCCAGCTCTGTGGCCAGTTCTAGGAAGACCCCGAGCTTCCTGACTCCTATTACAATGCTCTTACTACTGCCTTCTTTCTTAGGATCCGGGTGGGCTCACCTCCTCAAGGTAGGGGCATTCAGCGTGGGCTCTGTGGATGGCACCTGTCACTCACAGGCTTGGCCTGGGATTCCCTTGCCTTAAGCTGGTTCCTCTCAGGCCCCATGCCTGAAGCTCCTGCAGGCTGCCACCAGGGGACAGTGGTGCCCAGGCTGGTGGCATATTTAGGAATTCTGGACTTAGGCCAGCTTCCCTCCTCCCCTGCACGAGGGCCAGAATCTGAAATGATCTGTCTTTATTATGTCATCAGAAAACAAAGAAATCCCCCGAGTGTAAACAGGAGAAATGTGCTGGTTAAGTTACTCATCATTATCTTATTATTAACAAAATAAAGCACTATCTATGTTTACAGTCATAAAAAAAGAAACAGCCTGGAGAGAAGTGGGGGCGGCTCTGAGGCTGAGGAAGGAGAGAAGATGGGGCGGAGGCAGACACAGACTCCACATCTGGCCCTGTGGGATTTGGAGTTCCCATACTGATCAGAGGGCTGTTTAGAGTTAGGTGAAAATGGGATTTGATTTCTTTAGGAAACTAACTTGTGAAACTGATCAGAGGCTGAGATCCAGTCCCTAGTGTAGAGCGGGGAGGGGAGGGCAGGCAGGTGAGAGGCAGGGCTGGGTGGCAGAGGCTGAAGCCCAGGAGTCTTCTCAATTTCTTCCAAGAATGGGGAGCCCCCCGCCCCCCACGCTCATGAGGGAGGAATAAAGACTAGCTGCCATGGGGGGGCCCCTCTCCAGGGCCTCTGACACTGGCAGGAAGGGGAGCACCATCAGTCCTCCTGTCCCGACTCCCTCGTGGGATCAGGTTGGGACCAGGGGCGGGGGCACCAGGACAAAGCCCCTTGAAGGCTGAGGCACATTCCCATGCTGATCAGAGCTAAAAATGGCTCTGTGGGAACCGACTGGCAGAGCCAGGGAGGGAGTGAAGGGGAGGGCAGAAGGAGGTCAGGAAGGCTGGTGAGCCCAGGGCAGACCAGGGGCCTACACAGACCCAGAGAATCCAGAGGGCACAGGGGGCAAGGACAGACACCAAGGAGGAGAAACAATGAGGGCCTTGCAGAGAGACAAGGATGGAGAGAGACAGAAATGCACACAAGGACACAGAACCTGAGACACCCAGACTGACAAAGAGGTAGCAATTTGGGGACAAAGAGAAGCACAGAAAGAGGCCCCCAGAGAAGCAGGAGTGGCATCGAGAAACACACCCACAGGAACTCAGCAAACTACAGTGCCTGGCACATAGTGGGCACTCAATAAATATCTTGTGCAATGAACGAACAGATGAACACACACACACATGTACACATGCACGCACACACACACAGCAGCCAAAGGGACCATGGGCTTGGCAGAGATGAAGACAGCAAGGGACAGCCAGACCCTTTTGCACAAAGTGCAAAGCGATCCTGGTGAGTGGTCTGGCAGAGTGTGGGAGGGGTGTTGGTCCCACAGTGGCTGATCCAGCCAGGACAAGAATGGAAACAAAGCATGTGACCCCAGGGAGACAGGTCTGTAGCTGCCAGACCCCAGGTGGATAGACCTGCAGGAGAGGAGGGTCATACAGTGTCCCTTGGCCATAAGCCCTAAAGGCTGAGGTGCTCAGCCAGCTCAGTCCACAGCCACGTTGCAGTTCCTGCCCACCTAGGCCAACAGCTCCTCAGGGAGGGGGGGCTTCTCCCCTCATTAATGTATCTACAAGTGCACAGCTTTGCCCATCTCTGTGGCACGACCAGGTCCAAGTACCAACATAGTCTTAGGTTGGCTGGCTGTGCCCATTGGGTTGTGACGAGGTTTTCCCCAGAGGAAAAGGGGCTGGGCCCACCCAGCCAGGATCAGTCTGTGAGCACCACCAACTCCCCGTCGCTCTTCTCTTCGCCCTCGGAGTCCTCGTCCTCGCTGTACCGGTACATCTCGCCGTCAGCCACCGAATGCCTGTCATCTGTGCCCTCACCCTCCTCTCTGAGGCTGCAGGTGTTGACGATCACAGGCATGTTGGGGTCCAGGCTACGAGGGACATAGTGCTCCACGAGTGGCTGTGCCAGCGGCATGCCTGCCGCCCGAGGGTACAAGACATCCGAGGAGCTCATCTGCACCTGGCCAGCCTGCGGGCTATGGGGCGGAGAAGGGGCACGATGATGGATGCACACTCAATTCAATCCCAAACCCGTCTCCCCTCCAGGCCTCCTCAGAGCGTGCACTCCCACTCCATACCCTCTTGGCTTTGACTCAAACACCCTGCCCCCCGCCTGCTTTCTGATGGCCAAATTCACCAGTACCTACAGCCCTGCAGATGACCTGCAGACCCAGGGCCATAGATGTGTTCAACAGATAATATTCTTGGACAATCATGTATGAATCCAATTTTAAGAAACTGCGTGTTTTATTTATTTGTTTACTTTTACTTAGAGACAGGGTCATGCCCTGTCACCCACGCTGGAGTACAGTGGTGCAATCACAGCTCACTGTAGCCTTGGCCTCCCTGGCTCAAATGATCCTCCTGCCTCAGCCTCCCAAGTAGCTGGGACCACAGGTGTGCACCACCACACCTGGCTACTTTTATTTAAAGATGAGGTCAGCCGGGCACGGTGGCTCACGCTTGTAATCCCAGCACTTCGGGAGGCCGAGGCGGGTGGATCACGAGATCAAGAGATCAAGACCATCCTGGTCAACATGGTGAGACCCCGTCTCTACTAAAAATACAAAAAATTAGCTGGGCATGGTGGCGCTGCCTGTAATCCCAGCTACTCAGAAGGCTGAGGCAAGAGAATTGCCTGAATCCAGGAGGCGGAGGTTGCAGTGAGCTGAGATCGTGCCATTGCACTCCAGCCTGGGTAACAAGAGTGAAACTCCGTCTCAAAAAAAAAAGATGAGGTCTCACTATGTTGCCCAGGCTGGTCTCAAACTCCTGAGCTCAAGGGATCCTCCTGCCTCAGCCTCCCAAAGTGCTGGGATTACAGGTATGTGCCACCACACAGGCAGAAATTGCATATTTTAAATGCCCTAGGAGATTTCCTGTTTACAGGAATAAACTAGGGTGCTTACTTAAGTCAGGAACCTTTGTGTGATTAATACTCTGATTTCTAGCCCCTCTGAATTTCTATTAAGTTCCGCTGCCATGGGATCTATAGGCACCGTCTCTAGGTCCACGTGGCCAGTCCTCCGGTCACAGTCCTATGTCCTCAGCCACTGGGTGCTCACCACAGTCACATACATAGCCATACACAGTCAAGTAGCACGTGCGGACTCAGCTACACACAGGTAACACACACACGTATGCATATACACAGCACCCCTGGGGTCACACACAAAGGCAGGCCACACACGGACACCTAGCCACTCATGAGGGCTACATGTGCACACACAGTCTCCTGGGCGCCTGCAGAGGGCCTGCTCACGGGATCACATAGCTCTGGCGGGCATCCTGACGTCGGGTCCTCATCAGGGCCTTGTACTCGCCCACACGCAGCCGCTTCCCCTCCACGATGCAGGTGCGCTTGGGCCGCGGCTTGTACTTGTAGTCAGGATACT